TTCAGGATTGTGGTGTCCCCAAGGAAAAATGAAGTTACCATTAAGAAAAGGAGGTAGGCAAGTTGTGTAAAAAGGAGGATGATATAGGCCAGCACTTCTCAGGCTTTAATGTTGCATCCAAGCCTTGGAGGCTCTTAATAAAATGCAGATTCTGATCCTGTAGGTCTGGGTTGGAAACAGGGGATTTTGCATTTCTAACAAGCTCTTAGGTGATATTGGTGACACTAGTTCTACTGGTCCAAGACCACACTCTTGAGCTCCTGAGTGGCAAAGATGGAGACAGTTTTGTTTATCGTGGTACAGGGCTTTCAGAGGGCATAGTGGGAATATTTTTGAAGGAAGAGAGCTGCAGCAGGACAAGTCCATGGTGGACAGAGAAGAATAGGGACGTGTGTAGAAGGAAGAAGAGGTAACTAGAAGCATGATGATGGAGCAAATTAGCTGTTGTCACTTTTATTCCTGTAGGCCTGACCTTGTGGCATCTTGGCTTTGGTGCCTGAGATGGTGGTATTCAAATACAGTGTCTGTGACCTGGTCTTACAGCTTTCCAGCAGGGAGCCTCTGATGGCTGTGTTGGCACATGGACTGGCACACGGAGGAAGAAAGGGACTAGGATGACTTCCAGGTGTCCAGGAAGTGTGATAGGAAGGCGGTGATAAGTGAGGCCGTGAGAGTAAGCGAGACCACCCAGGGATAATATGCATGGAATGTGTAGGACAACAGAAGGTGGTCCAGGATGGAACCTTAGAAATAGGCCAAGAGTTTACGTAGGGCGAGTTGAGAGAGTTACAGAGGTAGGATATAATGGTGGCGGTGAAGACAGAGGACAATATTTCAAGAAGGGACTGGTCAACATTATCCCTAAAAATAAAACTCATGGACATGGACAACAAAGTGGTAATTGCAGAGGCAAGGAGGGATGGGGTGGAGGTGGAAGAGGGTATGGGGGTGATAAGTGATGATGGACAATTTTTTAAAAGTGAGAAAAAATTTTAAAAGATAACTAAGTGTTCACTGAGAGATAAAATTACTATTTTTCTATAATGTGTCTGTTTAGCAAACCCAGGCTAATCAACTGAAAAACAATTCTAATGAACGATTTGTTCAGTAAGGAAGCCAATTTCAAAATAAACATGCAAAAAGGCATAGACTTTTCATCAACTAACAATAACCAATTAGAAACATTATGCAGAAGACCCCACTGACAGCAAAAAAATAACCTTTACTATACCCTTTCCACAAGACCTTATGTGATCTGTCCCATGCTGCTTACTTGCTTCATCTCTTCTTATTCTTGTTTTTATTGAGGTGAAATTCACATAGCATAAAGTTAAATATTTTAAAGTGAACAATTAAGTAACATTTGATACATTCACTAGGTTGTGCAACCACCAAACTCTATCTAATTCCAAAATATTCTCATCACCCTAAAAGGAAATCCATTAACAACTCCTTATTTTCCCTTCCCCTCAGCCACTGGTAGCCATTATTCCGTTTTCTGTCCCTATGAATTTGTATATTCTAGGACCTCAGATAAGTGGAATCATACAATATCTGTCCTTTTGTGACTGGCTTCTTTGACTTACCATGGTGTTTTCAGGCTTCGTTCATATGGCAACATGTATCAGAACTTTCTTCTTTTAAATGACTTCTTTTAAATTTCTTCTTTTAAAAGTCCATTGTATAGATATTCCACATTTTGTTTTTTTCCAGTCATCAGCTGATGGACATTTGGGTTGTTTTCACCTTTTGGCTATTGTGAATAGTTTATTGTTCTTTCTCTGTTCACTCACTCCCAGCTGCCTTGCACTCTTCCTATTGCTCCAACTTGCCTCAGAACCATTACATTTGTTATTCCTCTGCCTGAAATACTCTTCTCCCAGATTCTCCATGGTTTTCTCATTCTCATCTTTGTGGCTCAAATGTCACATCCTCAGTGAAGCCTTCCCTGATCACTATATTTGAAATAGCTGAACCCTGAGTCATGTTTTATCCCATCATCCCATTTTAATGTCTTCATAGTATGTGTCACTAGGTGAAATGAATAAGAAGTAGGGTCTAGAGCAGATGCTGTTTTGTGCCTTTGGACTCAGTAGCAATCTAGTGAGACCTATGAGCCCATTCAGAATAATGTTTTTATTTATTTTTTTATTTAATCTTTATTGTTTTGCTTCCATCACCATTTAGTCCTCTTACACCCCTCCGCACTCACTGCACTGTTGTCCATGTCCATGAGTCCTTTTTCCTGTTTGCTCAATCCCTCTACTTCCTTACTCCCCCAGCTGTCATCCTGCTCTCCATCCATGAATCTGTCTTAGATTCCACATATGAGTGAAATCATATGGTTTTTAAATGCCTAAAATACACCATTATACTAAATGCAGTTAATACGGAAATATTTTTAAATTGTGATTGAATAATTCATGTACTTCTCTATTAATTCCTGACATAACAATATTTATAGGCAAGTCTAATAACTACCATAATTTAGAAGTTTGATGAGTATAAATGCTATTTTGAGATATTTGTTACACTATAAAATAAAACAAAAATATCCATGATTTCTGTAGGTTATGAAGTCTCAGGTACTGTTAAAATTACTCTAGATTGTTACCTATGTTTATACCTGAAGAAAATGCTAAACTTGATTACAGCTTAGTGAAAAACATGTATTTTTGTCCCAACTCATGGATGCTATGATTTCTATCGACAGACCTTAGAGGTCTGTGGACTGCAGTTTAAGAGCTCCTACCCTTGCCCTTACTGGTGTAGCTCAGTGGGTTGGGCATCATCCCACACACTGAAAGGTCATTGCCTCAACTCCCAGGGTCAGGGCACATGCCTGGGTTGTGGACCATGTGCCCAGTTGGGGGCATGCGAGAGGCAACCTGCGGATGTATGTCACACATCGATGTTTCTCTCCCTTTTTTTCTCCCCCCCTTCTTCTCTCTCTAAAAATAAGTATCTTTTAGAAAAAGAACTCCTACCCTAAAAAGTAAAAGACAAACAGTAGTTATGAGGAGGGGTAGAGTATGTTGGAGCTGGAAGAGATTATAGTAAGCCAGGGAATAACTAGCTAGGAGAAAGTTCCCTCTCTAGCCCTCACACCCATGGAACTTGGGTGTGAAAGTAGTAGTCATTTCCAGTTGAGAAGAATATGAGAGAAGCAACTTCTTTGAAGAGGAGATGGGTATCATTTAGAGGAAGGAAGATTTTGTGAAGAGGTTGCCTATGGGAATACAGAACTTACCAGGGACTGGGATCCAGTGAGCACAACAGAGTGGGGAGGGAGAGAGGACCATCAGGGGAAGAGGAGCCACTGGGAATGAGAGTGGAACCCTTACTACATTCCTGATCACATTCTGGACACTGAGGACACGAAAATGAATCACCTATTTAGGATTAAACAGAACCAAATTTTGTTGGTATTGGCTAGTTTGGCTGGTCTGATTCATACACTTCTTCACAGACCCTAAGAGCTAGGGTGAGCAGCAGACAGATGGGCCCAGGGTATCATTAGATATTCAGGGGGGAAAAGGAAAAACATGCATTTTTCTTTCCTTTTTTGATCCCTTTTGTAGAGCAAGATACTGAAGCATAAAAATTATGTAATGGAGAAAAAATGAAGCAGTGCCATGATTAGATAACTCAAACCAGCCAATTATCCAGAAATTAATTAGACATGTCTAAGGGGTGCATTCCCTATCCTCATTCCTAATTCTTCAGGATCCTTCTGAGGATCTCTGCAACCAAGAAATTCTTAGATGTGATTACCCTTCAGAACAATGGTTCAGAGGGATCAAAGAAAGAAAGGACTGTGTTTGTAGATTTTTGTCTAGGGCTGCAGAGATACCCTGTCCCTGGATCTCTCCTCTGTATGTGGCTCCCAGAATCTAGGATTCTGTGATTGTTTTTTTTTTTTTTAATCTATTTTTACCTTCCCTAAAAGGGGAATCTTCAAAAGGGCTCAGGTTGGGGGCTGCTGTAGGTAGGAGGCACTGTCTGGGCCCCGCTTCTCCTTTGATCACGTTCTCTTCTGGCAGTGGTATCTGCGAACTCACTGTCCCGAACTCACTGTCCCGGGCCTCTTCTAGCCTGAAGGGAGGAAGCCCCAGAAGGAGAGGCAGCAGATGATGGGGAGCTGAGAACAGAGGTAGGGCTGTAGTGAAGCTGACCTAGGAAGTTCAGAAAGAGGCGAGGCTGCAGGGCTGCTGAAATGGGGTGGGAGTGAGAAGCTTCCCAGGACAGGGAGAAGCTGAGGAGTGACTATTGTTTAAGAAGTTCCAGTAAATCTCTGACTGGTATGGCTCAGTTGATTGGGCATCTTACTACAGTACCAGAGGTTGCCAGTTCGATTCCTGCCGATTCTCTCTCCCTTCCCCCTCTCTCTAGGAATAAAGAAGTACAGTCTTTTTTAAAAAGTTAAAAAAGAAAAAGAAGTCATGGTAAAGACCTGAGGTCTGCAAAGGGTGGCTGTGCGTGGAGACTGTGTGAACTTGGGTGTATGTGTACATCTGTGAAGGCTGTGGTGAGGGTAGTATCTTTATGAAATTTTGCCCAAGTACTTACATTTTAAAGTCACAGTCTTAGAGGAAATGAGAACTGGAAAAATATCTGGCAGATATCTTCCTCAGAAGAGCCAAGTGGGGAATGCCATCGAATCTTGCAAGGCTGAGCAGAACCCAGTGCGTTCTGACAGGATTCCCTAGCAGCAAGGTCCTGGCCTCCACTGAGTACCCGGCAGAAAAGGGATTTCTGGCATAACTGGCGAAGGCTGTATGGGCGAGGTGGACATTCAGCTGGGCCATGAGGTTTAAAAAGTTAAACCTCATGGTTTAACTTTTGGTTTAATCCTGTCTAAAAGGGCAGGATTGGGATGAGAAGAGAGAAATGGGCATTCCAGAATGAAGGTGCATAGATGGGCATAAGTTGGCTCGTGTGGGGACCAAGGAGGTGGCCATTCTGAAGTGTCTGGGCCATTTTCTTACCATCCTCTTTAGCTACAAGCCCATCGTGGAATTCATCGATGCCCAGTTCGAAGCCTACCTGCAGGAGGAACTGAAGATACGCAGGGTACTGCACACCTACCACGACTCTCGCATCCACGCTTGCTTGTACTTCATCGCCCCTACAGGTCATTCCCTGAAGTCTCTGGACCTAGTGACAATGAAGAAGCTGGATAGTAAGGTATGGAAGCAGGGGCGGCTGGGTAAGCTGGGTCATTCTTACTGGTCTCTTGTACAAAGTAGAGGCCACGTTCCAGGAGAGGTCTTAAGGTTTTTTCATCCTCTCTTTTATTCCCTCTTACTCCATTAAGATGGTGCTATTGATCCAGATTCTGTGCCAAATACTTTGTTTTCCCCGCACAGGGTGCAGGTTTGCCCTGAGTTGTCTTTCTGCCCTGATCCCTCTTGGGCATACGGGTACATGCAAGCAAGATGGCTGTCCCAGTCTAGGGGCTCAGGCTTTGGCAAGGTGTTTTTTTTTTTTTTTGTTCCCATGTTAATTGGCCTGTACTAAAATCAGACATTCAAACTGGGCTTTGAAAGTTATTATTCTTGTTATCAATACTTATTTTTATAATTGCAGCTAACATTTGTTAAACTCTCATGCACCACCACCATTGTGCTAAGTACGTCATGGAGCATCTCATTGGATCCTCATAACAACCCCATGAGGCAAACAGTTCTTATCCCCTGTTTTACAGGGGAGAAAACCGGGGCTCTGAGAGGTTAAGTGACTTGCCCATTGTCATGTACCTGACTATTAGCAGAGTCTAGATTCGAATTCAGATCTGTAGCACCAAGTTCTGTTGTCTCCCGGAGACAGATGGCTGTGGGAATCAGGCATGTTCTCCTTTAAGAGAAAATGAAACATGCAAACCCCACTCCAGATATAAATTAGACAGTGATTCTTCATGTTAAAAGATTATTTGCTGGCCCTGACTGGTGTGGCTCAGTGGATTGAGTGTGTGCCTGTATACCAGGGGGTCGCTGGTTCGGTTCCCGGTCAGGGTGCATGCCTGGGTTGCAGGCTGGGTCCCTGGTGGGGGGGATGCATGAGAGACACCCACAGATTGATATTCCTCTTCCTCCCTTTCTCCCTCCCTTTTCTTCTTTCTAAAAATAAATAAATAAATAAATAAATAAATAAATAAATAAAATCTTAAAAAAGAGATTATTTGATGTACAAAAGAATTGACCACAGAATTCTTTAGAAAAAAAATAATAATTAGTACATTTTCCCCTAATATTTTATAGGTGTCTGGCACTGTGATGAGCATTTTATATGCATTATTTTATTTCAGCTTTCTAGTTATTCAGTGTGGTGGATAATATTATCATTCCCATTTTGCGTGTGAGGAAACAGAGGCACAGAGAATCAAAGATCTTCCTTAGTGTTATACAGCTTGTCATGGGTCTGGGATTCAAACTGAACTCTCCCCAACTCCAAGTTTTTTGTTGTTGTTTTTTACAAAAATCTAACTGATATGCATTTATTTAGCAGCATGTCCATTATAAAAACAGAATTTCAGCTATAATCAGAATAGAAGCAATTTTTCATTTTTCGCAGCTATGAGCTCACCACTCGTGAGTAACAAGCTGCTCTGGAAATGTTGCCACACCCTGCATGGCCTAGGGCAGCAGAGAGCCACACGGCTGGTGGCCTGGTGAGTGGGCAGGTTAAGTAAGCAGCCTTTGCCATATGTTTAGAGTATGTGGATGGAGACGTGGTGAAGAGCAAAGAGGAAAATTGGCTCTTCCTGCTGTTCCCCCTCAGCAAGGGCTTTGGCCCCCAGCCTTCCCAAAAAAAAAACTTCAAGGGAGGTGCCTCCAAGGTCCAATCTTAGAGGTGCTGCTGAGGCAAAGTGCAAGGGGGGGCAAAGTTTGTCTTCCAAGTCCAAAGTTCGCAGACCCCCTTTCACATTCTTTTCAGTGCCCCAGCATCATCCATGCACCCCGTTGGAGGCTGCTGGCAGGAGTGACTGTGCTCTCCATGTGCACCTGAGCTTGAGGGCGCTTTGTCTCACTAAGCCATGTGCATTTCGAGTTTCTTAACCTTATGGCAGTAAGAGTGTTGTCCCTTTTTGGAGGAATATCAAGGATCAGGTCAGGGGTTCAGGTGGCTTGATTTGGGGGCAGCAGTAAGCCTTTTTCCTGCTGTTTGAAATTGGGCATTTATGCTTGCTGTCTTTATGCAGAAATTAACCATGAGATTCAGGCAATATAACTCTTTGAATATGTCTCAGATCAAATTAGTAACTGAGAAGGTCTTCTTCACTTAACTGGGTTGGTTCATCAGTGTTTGCTGCCAAAAAGAGCGCCACGTGTGCATTGTCACTGAGCTCCCCGCTGCTCCCACTTCCTGCCATTCCCTCATGTAGGTCCCCATTCCACTGGCTGGGGCGAGCATGCGCTGGATGGGTTGGGACAGTTTATTGTTAGCAAGGAGTGCCTATCTTTCCCCTTGTCAACCACAGATTTCCAACTGCCATCTTCTCATTCAAATCACTGGAGCAGTGACCTTGATATGAAAATATCACACAACTCATCAATTTGGATCTGAGCTGGTAGATAGCTCATGGTTAAGACTGCAGACCGAGGAATAAGGCTAAACTTGGATTTCGATCCCAGTTCTGCTACTTACCTGCTCTGTGGGCTTGGACAAGTTATTTAACTTCTCTATGCCTCAGTTTCTCATTGGTAAAATAGTGGTAATGATACCTCCTGGGAGGGTTGTTATCAGGATTGTGTTAATTTCTGTAAAGCACTTACTTCCTCATAAGCACTCAGTTGTGATTGATTATATTATTTGGTTACAGAAGTGGCCAGTCCTAAACCACTGGGTTGAGCTGCGCCCTCTGTCAGCCAGTCAGAAATCCTAAGCCGTGCTGCTGTCGGTTGCAGATTATCAACAATGTTCCCACCTGGCTCCTTTCTCCCGTAGGTGAACATAATCCCCATCATTGCCAAGTCGGATGCCATTTCTAAGAGTGAGCTAACAAAGTTCAAAATCAAAATAACCAGTGAGCTTGTCAGCAACGGGGTCCAGATCTACCAGTTTCCTACAGATGACGAGTCGGTGGCAGAGATCAATGGAACTATGAACGTGAGTGGGAGCACAGGGGTTCAATGTGCTGACTGTTTGCTCTTTATTCTATTTCACCCAACAGCTGTCAGACATCTTCACCATCCATTTTACTGTAGTCAATTCTTGGTTATCTGAGTCTCAGGTATTTGTGAGAGAGAATGCAGAATGAAACAGCTCTATCCTGGGGCTGCTTCAAAGCAGAGTAGAGGTTGAAGGAGGAAAAGGCTAAGTCCAGGAAGAGTCTGGAGTGGGGGGATTCAAACCTCTCCCTCCAACCCCCTCTTTGATGCTGCTCTGGTCTAGGCCAGGCAGCCCCCCAAGGGGACCGCTGGATGGGCAAACATTCTTTGTTTGTAACTGAAACAAAGCACTATGACAATTGATTTCGGTGAATGAAGGAAAGGCTAAAAAAAATTGTCTGGCTTTGGAGACTCAAGGATAATCTGTACTCAGATAATCAAGCTTTCTGCCCCTGTGAGGAAAAATGATATATGGCCTACAATTTTTCTGGTGACTAGGGAAATGTTATTTTTTATGTTTCAGGGTTGTGCTTTGGTTTATTAAGTGTGAATGACTTTTTGAAAAAGCAACTTGCCATCTTGCCTGTCCTCCCTCACTCCTCCCCCACTACAGGAATGAGTAATGAAGAAGGCAGAGAGTCAAACATCTCCTCATGCTTCTTTACAATGTGTTGATGCTGTTGCTGTGAAATCTTCAATGTTATGATTTCAAGGAGACAGCTAATAGCTTTCAGAAAGCCTCTGCTTTGGGAACAGATTTCTTTTTTTCTACTGAGAGGCATCAGTTTTTCCTAATGACATAATGCCTGGGTATAGCCCAACTCAGGAAAGCCTGGTAATAAAAGCCATTTTTAGAAACTTCCTGCTGCCACTGCCCAGCAAGTTATCATTCTAGCATCAGCGGCCACCTCTTATGAATTGGCCAACAAATTTGTATAGTAGGGCAGCAAGTCATTGTCTCGCCTGACTTTCCGCTTATCAGTACACTTGAGACCTGTTCTTAGAAATCCCTCCTTATCTTTGATAAGTCTGGCCCAAGAGGAAGGCTGTGCGGCCTGTGATAGGTAGAATTATACCTCTCGTGCTCCGACCAGTCGTGAGCATGAGAGAAAAAAAAGATTGGTGCTTATTTCCTCAAGAAGTCAGGATGTTGGAGTCAGTAGTCCAAAGTTTGCTAGTATTTCACTTTGAAAAAAGAAATGTTTTTCCTTTTTTAAAATGAAAGTTGACATGACATTTTATATTAGTTTCAGGTGTATAACATACATAATGATTCAACATTTATATTCCTCATGATGTGATCACCTCGATAAATCTAGTAACCATCTGTCACTATGCAAAGTTATTATAATAATATTGATTATTTTTCTTATGCTGTATTTTATATCCTTATGACTCATTATTTTATAACTGAAAGTTTAGTGAATTTAGGGTTATCCCTATAAAAACATTGCTCAGCATGCATTCCCTGGCATTTCACCATGCTTTTCTGAGTGGGAAGGACAGGGCGGGCCTCCAGCTAGTGTGCCTGGGATTGGGCATGGTCGTGGGAAGGGGGCATGCATGGGAATGCTATGTGTTATGTGTGTGGTGATGCGCGACAGGATGGGAGGTTGTTGCCAAAAATACATACAGAGGATTGCTCAGCCTGCCTACTACCATTAAATGGTGTCGAAAGTCCCCAGGGTCTTTGGATCAGCTGTGGCATACAAAGCTGCATCATCAGGGATCTGTGCTTGGGTGGTAGGAGGAATGGGTGCTGGCTTTTCAATTCTGGATTTGACTCTAGCCCCCCAGCCTCAGCCACCCTAGCCAATTACTGTGGGAACTGGATTGGAAGAAGTAGTAGAAGCCTCTTGCCTAAGTGCAGAAGACTGTACAGCCATCTTGCCATTCACTACTAAGGATTTCTATGGCAGGAAATGAAAGCAATGAAGTCTTAGCCTCCCCCTTGACTTATGGGTGGCTCTGGAAATCCTGATTTCAGATTGACGGATTTGCAAGACAAGGTTGTGAGAGATCTTGTGGCATTCTACTTTCAACCCATGCTCTAATAACTCTCAAGTTTGTAGATTTTAATGTTAAAAATTGCTGTGTTGTTCAAATCAAATGTCCTTTGAGTAGCTCAAACCATGGCCAGGGACCAGGCAACTAGCTCAATTATTCTACTTGGCTCACTTGATTGGCCATCTGTGAGGTCTTGGGTTTGACCCCCATAAAGTATTTGGTCACATGGGTGACCTGCAGGGTCACAGGGAGACCCACAGACACAAGCCTGCCCCTTCTTTTCAAGCAGCAGTGCCATTTTTGTTGTGTGTACACACCTTTGTGGGAATCACCAAGGGTCGACTTGAGAGAGAATCAGGCATGCTTTTGCTCAGTTGCCAGTAGGGGCCTGAAATGGGGGCGAGCATAGCCAGCAGCATGACTGGGAAATCCTGTCCACCCTGGGAGGGAGCCACGCCCAGTGGGGATATTGTCAGACGCGGAGGAAAGGGCCCTGGTGGTCTATTTTACTGGGCTGAGGGGAACGATTATGTGCCCTCCCAAAGTATAATGGATGTAGTGGAAACAGAATAGAATAATTCATGCCAATTGGATCATCAGACATTTTAAAATGTGCCAAGAAGAATTTTAGGTAGACATGAGGCAGGAAAGGTAGTGCATCTGGGACTAGACTCATAAGATAAAGCTTGAGGCCATCTCTTGTTGAGGTTGTTTTTTTTTTTTTTTTTAAGATTTTATTTATTTTCAAAGACAGGGGAAGGGAGTAAGACAGAGATGGAGAGAAATGTTGATGTGCGAGAGATACATCGATCAGTTGCCTCTCACACGCCCCCAACTGGGGACCTGCCTGCAACCCAGGCCTGTGCCCTGACCAGAAATCAAACAGGCAACCTTTTTGTTCTCAGGCAGGTGCTCAATCCAGTGAGCCACACCTGCCAGGGCTCTTGTTGAAGTTTTCTGAGACTGAGGCATCTCACCCCTAGGGGCATCTCATCAGAGGTCTTCTGGGTGAGAGTGTTCCACGGACTCCCCATAGGAGCCTGTCACTGTTTCAGCAGCAGCACTGTCTTACATCTGTCAGAGTCTCTGCTCTGGCTCCACATATACCAAGTGTTACCCTTGGGAGTATGATGGGGGTACCTTCTCTCTGCTCTTCTTGACTCCATTTTGGTTGTCATAGCCATCAGTCTTTCAAGAGCAGCAGAACGAGGGCCGGAGCCTGGTCCCATGATTTCCCGCCCTTCACAGTTAGATGATGTCTAGCAAATGCCTTTAGCTGGAAGGCAGAACACAGGCTGCCCTGAATGACTGGGGGAGGCTGGCATCTAAAGTGTGGTGTCCTGCTCTGGCTGGTGTGGCTCAGCGGATTGACCACCAGCCTGCAAACCAAAGGGTCGTGGGTTTGATTCCCAGTCAGGGTATGTGCCTGGGTTGTGGGCCAGGTTGGGCGCCCCCCCCCCCCCCCGCCAGTAGGGGATGCACAAGAGGCAACTACACATTGGTATTTCTCTTTCTCCTTTCCTTCTCCTCTGTCTAAAAATAAATAAAAAAATATTTTTAAAAAGACATTTTAAGAAAATAAAAAGACATTTTAAGAAAATAAAGTGCGGTGTCCTCACTTCTTCCTGGGAAGATTTGGGCATGAGAGTTAGGGACCTAACTCTCATTTAATCTTTCTGTATGCCAATCCCCCAAAATCACAAATGGGGTTGATCATAACCACCCTGTAAGGCTGTTGTGATAATCAAATGATATCTGCCTGGGAGCACTGGGAAATGATATCCTTGCATAGACTTATCAGAATAGAACTCGCTGCTGTAAAAGAGTGTGCCATGGGAGGTCTCTATACCCCTCTGCAGCTGCCTGGGTGGGAGCTGTGTCTTTTAGAATGGGGAGGGGCAAAATGACAGCAGTTTAAGGAAGAGGGGAAGCAAGCGACCCTGTCATTCTAACAATGTCTCTTGGAGACAGTAACAGGCCCAAGAGAATACTGACATTTTTATTCTTTTATTCTCTTTTTGTCCCCCCCTTTTCTCTTGAGCCCAGAGAAATACCTTCTACTCCACACAGCCTCCTCCTCCATCACTTTCAGTTGAGAGCCCACAATGTGTGAGGAGGATACAATGTGGTTTCTCTTTCTCACCTCTTCCCTCAGTCTAGCCCTCTGCCACTGATGCCCCTTGTGTCATGTGCCCAAAGCTTTGGGGTCTCTGTAGGAAAGACAATATTTTCCTGGATAAGGTTTCAGGGTGCTTTTGGGGCTCCCGACATGTCTTGGGTCCCTGAGTGGGAATGAATTGTGCCCGAATGACACCCTGGGGCTGGCAGAAGTCAGAGATCACTGGTCCTTGGGCAGGGTTTTTTGAGATTTTAGTATGCTCTTTGTGTCACATGTGCAATGACCCTCATGATGATTCAGTGCCCTAGTAGGGCTGATGAAACATTTCCCACCTTCACCCTTTGCCCACCTTCTGTATCCATGGCCTCCTCTTTCCCTATTTCCTATGTCCCCATTTCGGGGATGGTCAGTGGGGTAGGAAGGGACAAACCGATGACACATTGAGAGAAGCTGAGAGAGGATGAGGAAGAGCCACTTCATCTGCATGGCCAAGTACCTTGGGGGATAAGCAGATGTCCTGGAACTGAGCTCCTGATTAAGTCCTGTGTTTTCCACTCCTAAAAACATTCTTGGCATACGGAGCTAGAAGAGAATAGAGAGGAAGGATTGGCTGTGAGATCAGTGCACAGATTAAATAAACAAAAAATATTTGCTTCAAGTTTCCTAGAATTGAACTGCCACTTATAATCTGACCTTGCACAACCAGTTCACCCTAGGGTTTGGAGCGCTCACCTCCTCTGCTGCTCCAACCTCTAAAAGGGTGTGTGGCAGACCTGCAGGCCCTTCACGTCAGAGAGACCACCCCTTGCTCTGCCCCTTACTACTGTGTGCTTGCTGGCAAGTCACTTAGCTCTTCTGGACCTCAGTTTCTTCTTCTATAAAATGGGATAATAAAAACATCTATTTCAAGCATTGTTGTAAGGATTCAATGCGGTAATGTAATGTAGAGCACCTGGTATGGAGTATCTGGAGTTGAGTGAATTGCTGCTTCCAATATCAGTTCTTTAGCTACAATACTATTAGTACAATTGCTACGGCCTACTCTGCAGCCTGCTTTGACTTCCTATTAAGTTAGCTGCTCCCTCCTCCATGTTCCTCTAGCCCTTGAGCCTCTGTTTATAATCTGGACCTTAGTCTAGTATTATTGTTGGCATGTCTGTCCCCTACCAGACTGTGCCCTCTCCATGGGCAGGCTCTGAACTTTTTCAATGTTGTATTTTTTTTAATGCCTAGCACATAGTGCGAGCTCAGTAAATATTTATAGAATGGAAAAATGAGCCTACAAACCGAGGCCTGTTTCTCCAAGCAGGCTAAGAAAGTTCCAGTGGATTTTTTACTTGTCCACTTGCAAAGTCCTTTCAGGTAAAGCCCTGCCCAGAATCACCTGGATTATAAACAGTAGTTATTCAGTGGTTCCATTTGGCCAGTGGTCACTCAGCACTTATAATCTGGGCTGCTTGCTCCTTGCAGAAGGGCTGCTTTCCCAGGCCCCACACTGCCAAGTGGGGACAGCTGCCTCTGCTCTGATGCATGAAGCCTACATTAGCCAGGCCTCCCTCCTCATCAGGCCCTGCAAGCACCAAGCTCAGACCCCTGTTTGTACTTGGTCTTTCTTCTCTACTATTTCCATGGCCTTGCCACTGCCATTCAAGGAGTATTTTATGAAGCGCCTAGTGTGTGCAGGGCACCAGAGCATGCATTTGAGCCCTTGGTCATATTCTGTCATATATTTTGGGATATGTAAATCTAGCATCCCCAGCAGGATTGTAAGCTCCCAGAGGGTGAGGGAGTATGTCTCTTACTTCTTTTGTCTCTTTTACAGGACCTAAAACAAAACCCAGCATGGTCATGGGCATGTGGATGAATATTTACGGACTTCTAGGCTTAAGAGTTCAGTGTGAGCTCTTGCTCCAGGGAAAGAAGAGAACAAAGTGCACACAGTTCAGTCAGCAGTGTGGTTTCAGTATATACCTATTCTCAGGGCTCACACTCTGGGGAAGGGGGAGGGCCAGCACTCCCAGTACTCTTGTTCTCCTTTAACCTCTTGAGCCACACATAGCCCCTCTCATCCCACTCAGCCACCTTTCAAAGGCTCTTCCCCTCAGCAACTGTAAATACTGAAGAGCTAGCTAATCTGTGTATCTGCTTATTATTCTATTGATTTTCTGTCTTTGTCTGTTCCCTATGTATTCAACCATGTCATTGTTACCTTTTATTGTGAGTCTCTGAACAGCAGAAGTCTGGACTAGACCTCTTATCCCCAGACAGCTCAGGAGTTTAAGAAATACCTCTTGATGTTGACAACAGTGAGGGACACTGTAGTGCTGAGGGCCTGAGGCCCAGGAGGTGAGCAGCAGTTGCATTGTAGGAGCTGTGCCTTTCTCCTTGAGTTCTGAGCTTTTGTTTGCCTTCTATTTCAGGCCCACCTGCCTTTTGCTGTCATTGGCAGCACAGAAGAACTGAAGATAGGCAACAAGATGATGAAGGCTCGGCAGTATCCTTGGGGCACCGTGCAGGGTGAGTGAATTTCCAAGAGACAGGGAGCCCTTTCTGTCTGTTGCATTGCCTGACCCCAGGCACTGGGGGACCAGTTCCAAACTTGTACTGGAGCAAGGTGGGAAGACCATGTGTACTTGTCTGAGTGCACCAGGAGGCTGACAACAGTGTTCAAAGCAGTGTTGCTCCTAATAGTGAATAATTAGAAACAACTCAGATATCCATTAAAAATAAATGGATGAATTGCGAGATGTTCATGTAATGAGATACTACACTGCAATGAAAATGAATGGGAACTTCCGGCCAAGATGGAGGCGTAGGTAGACACACTGTGCCTCCTCGCACAACCAAGATAAGGACAACAACAATTTAGAAACAAAATAACAACCAGAACTGACAGAAAATTGACCTGTATGGAAGTCCGACAACCAAGGAGTTAAAATAGACACATTTATCCAGACTGGTACGAGGGGCGGAGAGGGGTCATGGCAAAAAAAGTGGTGGCACCGGGCGTGCACAAGGCAGCACCTGACAAACCCAGGACGCGCAAGACACAGCGGGTGGACCCTGGGCGCGGGGTGGCAATGGGCAGACCCAGAGAGGCGGCAATCGTGAAGTGAGGCACTGCGTGCAAGGTGACTGGCTGACCAGGAGATGAACCAGGAGAAACTGGGGAGCCAGACAGACTGCACAACCCAGGGTCCGAGTGCCAGGAAATAAAGCCTCAAATCACCAACTGAAAATACCTGTGGGAGTTGAGGTGTCGAGAAAGACTCCCAGCCTCACAGGAGAGTTCGTTGGAGAAACCCACAGGGTCCTAGGAATGTACACAAACCCACCCACTGGTGAATCAGCACCAGAAGGGCCCAGTGTGCTTGGGGGAAGCAGTGGAAGGGACTGAAATTCAACAGAGAGTGGAGCAAGCACCATTATTCTCTCTTGGACCCCTGCCCCATATACTGTGTGTCACAGCCCAGCAACTGGGTTGCCCTGTCCTGGTGAGCACCCAAGGCTCTTGCCCTCATATGTAACAGGCACGACAAGACAAAAAAAAAAAAAGGCCCAAATGGAAGAACAGATCAAAGCTCCAGAGCAAATAAAACTAAGTGACGAACAGATAGCCAACCTATCAGATGCGCAGTTCAAAACACTGGTGATCAGGATGCTCACAGAATTGGTTGATTTTGGTCACAAATTAAATGAAAAAATGAAGGCTACGCTAAGAGAAATGAAGGAAAATGCACAGGGAACCAACAGTGATGGGAAGGAAACTGGGGCTCAAATCAATGGAGTGGACCAGAAGGAAGAAAGAAACAACCAACAGAAAAGAGTGAAGCAACAAGAATTAAAAAAAAAAATGAAGAGAGGCTTAGGAATCTCCAGGACATCTATAAATGTTCCAACATCTGAATTATAGGGGTACCAGAAGGAGAAGAGGCAGAGCAACAAGTGGAAAAGTTATTTGAACAAATAATAAAGGAGAACTTCCCCAATCTGGCAAAGGAAATAGACTTCCAGGAAGTCCAGGAAGCTCAGAGAGTCCCAAAGAAGTTGGACCCAAGGAGGAACACACCAAAGCACGTCATCATTACATTAGCCAAGATTAAAATGAAGGAGAGAATCCTAGAAGCAGCAAGAGAAAAGGAGACAGTTACCTGCAAAGGAGTGCCCATAAGACTGTCAGCTGATTTCTCAAAAGAGACCTTACAGACAAGAAGGGGCTGGAAAGAAGTGTTCCAAGTCATGAAAAACAAGGACCTGCACCCAAGATTACTCTATCCAGCAAAGCTTTCATTTAGAATGGAAGGGCAGATAAAGTGCTTCTCAGATAAGGTCAAGTTAAAGGAGTTCATCCTCACCAAGCCCTTATTTTATGAAATGTTAAAGGGACTTATCTAAGAAAAAGAAGATAAAAACATGTATAGTGAAATGACAGCAAACTCACAATTATTAACAACCACACCTAAAACAAAAACCAAAAGAAACTAAGCAAACAACTAGAACAGGACCCAAAGCACAGAAATGGAGATCACATGGAGGGTTAGCAACAGGGGAGTGGGAGGAGGAGAGAAGGGGGAAAGGTACAGAGAGTAAGTAGCATAGATGGTAGGTAGCAAATAGACAGGGGAGGGCAAGAATAGTATGGGAAATGTAGAAGCTAAAGAACTTATGACACAAGGACATGAACTAAAGCAGGGGAATGGGTGGGAGAGGGTGTGCAGGGTGGAGGGGAATGAAGAGGGGGAATGGGACAAGTGTAATAGCATAATCAATAGAATATACTTAAAAATTAATAGAAGAAAATGAATGGGTTATAGTTACATCTATATGAATACATCTCAGAAGGGCTGAGCTAAATAAGTGATAGAAGAGTACATGTTGTATGATTCCCATTTACATGAATTTCAAAAGTAGACAGAACTAAATAAGTAGACAATATATATATATATGTCTTATAAGACACCAGTGACCCTATAGCACTACTGGAATTTTCCATGGGTAAAAGTAGACTGGTTGTCAGAGTTGTGCTAGGTTTTGGACTTCTCTGCTATTTGTGGCTGGGTATGCTCCATTGGGAACATTTGCAAATGGTTGCTGAAGCAACAGTCCAACACAGGGAATGAATTTGTGTTCTAAGAGACAAGAGCCTGAGGTGACACGAGGAGAAGCCAGCAGGCATGGTTCTTCCAGTGACTTCCTCCAACTTAGACCACCGCACAACTAATGAAGAAAGCAGTTTTTGAACTTTTTTTCTTGTAAGCCAGGGTTCACTGTTGTATTTGGGTGAGGAAGAAGCTGTGTATTGTTTGGGTAGCCTATGGGGGCATTAGAGTCACTCCTTACTGACCAGCAGGGATCACTGTCCAGAGATGGAAGAAGAGATGGTCCTGAAAAGTTGCCTGACTGAAGCAATTGTTGATATTAGCTTCTGTTCTCTGACATGAGGTTTTATCCCAAAGGCAACGGGCCTTAAGCAGAGGGGTTCTGTAAGCTAATTTGGGCTTCGGAAGATTGCTGACTTGTGACTGTGCTCACTCTGTCATCCTGGACCCCTCCCTGCCCCTACTACCTTCTCCCACAACCTGAAAAACAGAATCTGGGGTGAGTGGGCCTGTTCATCATCTCAGACCTCTCCATCCCCACATGGTCAGGCTAGACACTCCCACTCGGACACAGTGGAGCCATATTTGGAGATACGTGCCAGAGCACTGCTCACAACCTTATGTTCCCACCAGAAATCTACATTGCTATGATTTGGTCCACATCTCTGTCCTTCTTAGCTACTGCCCCAAATGCAGACCTTTGCCACACTCTTTTGAGGATGGGGTTTGTCCAGTCAGGCTACAAAGTGGGGTCCAATCCATCCCAGTCACTATTGCTGCTGTCAGGCCATTATCCACCCTGTAAGAAACACCTCCTTTGAAGCTTCTCCCATCCAGATGGGCCATACCCCTCCTTGTCACTGTCAACTATTGATTTCTTAGTTCTTTCCCCATAGTTTTTGGGGACTTTGACACCTGGTTATGGCCTTTCCCCCTGCTTTATATGACCTGGACTGGAATCCTAACCCTGCAATTTAATAACTTTGTAACCTTGCCTAATCTCATCGAGACCTTGTAAAACCTATTCCCTCCTCTGCCTGATAAATTTCTATTCTTCCTTAGAGAGTCATCATAGTGGTTGCCTCTCTGGTTGAACCCTTCACTCTCCCATGAGCTCTTAGGTCCCCTCCTCTTCTGGGATTTTATTGCACCTGGGCTGTCTACCTTTGTTTTTGTAATTTTTGTATTGTATTGAATTCGTCTGTTTGCATCTGTTCTTCCACTAAACTGCTGAGGACAAGACTCCATGACTTTGTTTCTGAATTCCCAATGCCTCATGCAGTACTGGGAACAAAGATTCCACAAGTATTTATTGGACAAGTGGCTGAATGTGCATGTGCCATTGTCCTAAAAGTGGTGCAGGGCAAGCACTCCTGTGAGTGTCTGATTGGTGAACTGAGGTTGAGGTGCTCCTGAATGTCTGGGGAGATTTTTTTTATGGTTTTGCAGTTTTCTATTACCATCATTCTTGTTTGTAAGTTTTCATTTGCCTTAGCAGTAGAAAAGTAAATCAGGAGGCAGTCAAATTTGCAAGATCTGCATACAGATCGAAAGGCGATATCGCTGTAAGACATTCCGCCTCTCATTTCACCATTTCTGCTTCTTCTGGCCTTCCTATCAATATACTATTAATCTCCCAACCCATGCTATGCAGTTGAAAACGAGGCCCACTGTGACTTTGTGAAGCTGCGGGAGATGCTAATTCGGGTCAACATGGAGGACCTCCGGGAGCAGACCCACAGCCGGCACTATGAGCTGTACCGCCGCTGCAAGCTGGAGGAGATGGGCTTCAAGGACACTGATCCCGACAGCAAACCCTTCAGGTATCTCTCACACACCACTTCAGCCCAGCTTAGCCCAGCCAGCCCAGGGTATGGGGAAGCTTCACCCTAGAGCATCCACAGGGGATTAGCACACAGGTGCTGAGACCAAGAGCAGCACAACTCAGTCACTTGCCAATTTTACCTTCCAGTCCCTCTCTGCCTTCCCGGCGGAGCTGTGGCCAGGTGGGCTTGGTGAGCAGTGGGTCAGGGAGGAGACCCATAGGCCTAGCAAGGTCAACGATCTCACTGCTACAAGTGTGTACACACAGCAGCTGCAGCCAGCTCTACCGAAGGGGGGACCCTAAGCTGGGGCCTTCTTCCCCAGAACGGCAGCTCATGCCTGGCATATGCCCCACTTTCTTCATCAGGCTCCTGCTGCTCTGTCCAGTATCCAGTGTGTTCTTTACCCTCCAGCCCATTACCAAATCCAGATGGGATCAAGTAGTAGTCATTGTACATATATCGATGAACTTTAGGCTCTTCAGTCACTGTCAAGTACAAGTTTTGTTTTGACCAGAGGATGTTAATAATTATTGACATACTGCTTTTTTTCATACTTCTTAAATCAGAATCTAAGATGCTTCCAGAGAAGAGGAATGGTTTTGAAAGCAGTTTACTCTGTTAATAGGAGCAATGTGTGAAGTACAAGTGTCTGATCTTGATACCTGATATAAGTCCCACATTTTAAATGACCGTGTGTTGCTATTTACCAGAGCTTGGTCTCCTTTCTCGAAATGTAAGGACTTGATAAGCAAGTGACGGGGAGGCTTTGGGCTAAGAAGGCTATCACATAGCCTTTGAGATCCACAGTACCTGCTCACAGTGGAAACCCGGCCTGGGGGTAAAGCATAGCCAGTCCTTCAGGGTTGCCTCATTGTGGAGGGGCAGGTAGTCCCCTTCAGGGACAGAGGCCACTGGAGCTTCCAGGGTTGGAGGAAGGTGTGCTTGTCTCTCCATTGGGTGCTTCCTTAGTTTTCTCTATCCTTCCTCTCCACCTGCTTTAATCTGCGTCTGTGGAAGGTGTGCCTCTAGCTGTTCTTCTAGCCCCCTCCCCTCTTCCTTTGCTCCATCCTGCACACCCGTTACCTGTGTCTTTGCCCTCTGCACTCCTCTGCTGGCTCATGTTGCATGCAAATATTATCATCCTAAAGAAACTCACCCTTAACTGCTCCTCCTCACCAGCCTCTGTCTTGTCAAGAAATTCTGCTCTTACAGGAAAGAGAAAGAGTTGCTCTGTATTTATTGACTTCTGACCCCACCATGTCACTGAAATGCCTCCCTCCAAGGTCAGCAATCACACGCTCATGGCCAGTTACATTGTGGCCTCTAAGTCTCGTCTTTTTTTTTTTTTAATCTCAGTGTTTGATACTCCTCCTTGTTGCCTCCTTCCTGAAGTTCTCTCTGCCTTTGGCTTTCTACCACTGGTTTGGCTGGTTTCAGTCCTCTGTCTCTTGCTACTCCTTCTCAGCTTCATTGGCAGGCTCATTTTCCTCAGCTTACTTCTTTAAATGTTGTGCTCCAGGATTCTTTTCCTAGGGTCTCTGGTTCTTTTACTCTCTATTCTCTTTGCAGCTGGGTATTTCTCCTCTCACAGCCCTAACTACTGCCTAGAAATAGGTGAATCCCAGACTAAAATCTAATGTTTCACCTCTAAACCCATTGATCTAACTATACCCTGCATGTTTTCACTCAGACATTCCATAGGTAACGCTCTTGAAACTCAGGTTGTCTAAAATTTAAGTCACCTTCTTCCCTCTTAACCATACTTCTCCAGTGTTCCGTGTTGCAGCTCATGGCACCACCATTCATTCACCGGCTTGCCCAAGCCAAAAAAACAAAACAAAACAGAATAATCTTTGAGTCCTAAGTCCCGGGAGTTCTGTCCCCTTACTATTCCTCTAGGTACCTCAGGTCCCCCATTCCTTGCCAGTTCTTAACATTAAGATCCTGTCATTTCATACTTGGATTGTTGGGAAGTCTGTCCTTTATGCAACAGCCAGAGTGGTCTTTCTCATTTTCAAAGTGGATCAAGTCAGTCTTCCTGCTTAAAACCTTACCATGGATAAATGTCCAAGTCTTGTATGGCATCCAGCATCTGCTTTCTCTTGCCAGACTGAGGAACTTCATATCCCACTGCTCCACAGCTTATTCCAGCCGTGTTGGACTGTGCATGGCCCCCCCAGTATGGCAGTCTCTCTCCACATGTGCTTTTCCACATGCTGCTCTCCTCGGAGCACAATTCTTCCTCTTTTTCACCAGGTTAATGCCTATTTAAAACCAAGTCCAGGCCTGGGGCAGGGAGATTTAGCCTAGGCATCTCCCACCAAACTGTGAGTTCCTTGATGGCAGGCATAATGGCTGTTGCTGTAGATGTTGAGTGACTAGCATTACTGTCACTCGGTCTTGTGTTTAGCACATGGTGGAGTCTCACCAAGTGTTTATTACAAGAGTTCATTAATGTGGTCAGTTTCAGAGCCAGGACCTGGCAGCGGAGTGGAGTGGGCAGATCCACAGTAAAAGACAAAAGGCCCAGTTTCTGGTCCTACTTCTGACTCTAAGTAGCTGTGTGGTCTTGAGAGCAAGTCACCTACCTCTCTGGGCCTGTTTGCTCACCTGTAAAATGAGAGTATAGAAGCAGATGTTCTAAGTCACTGCCAGTTCTAAATATCTCTCAAGGTCCCCAGGGCTACCCCATTACGTTCAAGCAGCCCTGTGATTCTGCTGTCACATGCCAAGCCAGCTGCCCACAGCTTTGTGGTACTGTTTTTGCACCTGTCCCAAAATCGGGAAAGGAGGGTAGGAGAACCCAGGGAGGACCACTGGGGTAAGTGTTCATCAACTAGGAGCCATTCCAAAGGCAGGGGAAGTAACCTGACCATGTTTGCAGTTTACAGGAGACATATGAGGCCAAAAGGAATGAGTTCCTAGGAGAGCTCCAGAAAAAGGAAGAGGAGATGAGACAGATGTTTGTCCAGAGAGTCAAAGAGAAAGAAGCTGAACTCAAAGAGGCAGAGAAAGAGGTAAATGTGAGCCTGGGTGATAGGTGGGAAGGGAAAATTGGCTGAGCTTGGGCACCTCAGGGGCTTCTGCCCCAACAGCACAGCCAGCCAGAGCCTTGCAGCCTCCGGGTAAGAACGGGGCACAGCACGTGCAGCCCTGCCTTGGCTGGCACAGAGAGAGCTGCAAGACATCTGTGTTTCCTTGGTTTCTCATTCCCCAAAGCCAGGGTGTTTAGTCATTCTGTGTTACTGAATTCTCTACAGCAGTGCAGTCCATCTGGTAGCCACTAGCCACATGTGGCTATTGAAATAGAAATTAAGTAAAATTAAATAAAATTTAAAACTCAGTTCCTCAGTCACATTAGCTGCATTTCAAATGCTCAATCCTCATGTGACTAGTGGCTATGGTATTGGACAGGACAGATACAGAACATTTCCACTGCCGCAGAAGGTTCTATTGCGCAGCACTGCTCAAAAGTCAAGACCTCACACAGCCTCTTGGGGACAGGTGTGAACTGATTCTTTTCTCTCTTCTGGGACTTTGGAGCTCAGTAGCGATAATTGATGACTTTCTTGACTGCCCTGCCCCATCCCAACTGCTCTGATGGCCATGGGGAAAGATGGTTCCAGGCATTCCTGGGTACCTTATTAAAACCTAAAACAGTAACAGCTGGGGCACTTCCCTAGTCATTTGGATATTCTGTTACATTTCATGGTGGCATTAAAGAAACATCTGTGTGGCTCTAGCACGTTTTTAAACTACAGTTTAATGGTCCCTCTGGGGTTTTCATTACTCAAGCCAGGCCTAATAGAGTACGGTTAGTCCTCTAACTGTTGCCTTGCCTCCTAGGTCTCCCTACCACTCCACCCACTGCTGCCCAATGCAGTGGCCTCAACTACAGTCTGGGTCACATGAACAATTGCTTCCCCTCTCTGGGCCTTGAGACCCATGATGAACAGAAGCACTTAATTTCTTCCCAAGTCTCTTTCCTGGTAATCTGCTATGACTCTCTAGGGTTATCACTGAAGCCCAGAATGAGGGTATTGATTTTATTTCAGTTTCATTTTTCAAAAACAAATGTCACCTAGGCCTTTAAGGAGGAGAGGTAAGAGGAGCTCAAAGAGAGATGAATGAAAAGCCAACGGACAAAAGCCAGGTTAAGGCAACTGATCAGCAGAGCTTCCACTACCCTACTCCAAGGGACTAGTAAAAGCTGGTTTACACTGCAAGCCTGTCATCCATCACCCCTTACTAAATGATAGTCCCAAATACCTCTAGGACCTGGAGACCTGACCTCCTTCATGGCATACTGCAAGTGCTACAGAATCCTAAATTCTCTTTTTAATCCTCAAAAAAAATTGGCCCTGGCTAGTGCAGCTCAGTGGATTGAGCACAGGCTGCAAACCAAAGGATCGCTAGTTTGATTCCCAGTTAGGGCACATGCCTGGGTTTCGGGCCAGGTCCCCTGCAGGGGGCACACAAGAGCCAACCACACATTGATGTTTTGCACTCTCTCTCTTTCTCCCTCCCTTCCCCTCTGTCTAAAAATAAAGAAATAAAATCTTTTTAATAAAGATTGTATTTATAAAATAAATAAACAATTTTATTTATAAAAATAATTATAAAATAAAGATTTTATTTTAATTAAATAATTTATTAAACAAACAATTGTTTATTTAATGAAATTATTTATTTAATGAATTATTAATACATAATAATTTACCCATTAAATAAAATTATTTATTTATTTATTTTATAAATACAATTAAAAGGTTTTATTTATTTATTTTTAGACAGAGGGGAAGGGAGGGAGAAAGAAAGGGAGCAAAACATCAATGTGCGGTTGCTGGGGGCCATGGCCTGCAACCCAGGCATGTGCCCTGACTGGGAATCAAACCTGTGATGCTTTGGTTCACAGCCTGCGCTCAATCCACTGAGCTATGCCAGCCAGGGCTAATAAAATCTTTTTTAAAAAGTGAAATTATGCTTGGTCTACTCTTACTGTTTAAGGTAGTTTATCTCATTCTAGTTTGTTACCGCCTATACCTCTTGTTAAAAGAAATTTTATTTATTCATTGTTAGAGAGACAGGGAGGAAGGGAGAAAGAGAGAGAGAAACATTGACCAATTGCCTCTTATATGTACCCCAACAGGGGACTTAACACACAACCCAGGCATGTGCCCTGACCGGGAATCAATTGAGTGAACTTTCACTTTGAGGGATGACCCCCAACCAACTGAGCCACATTGGTCTGGACATCACCTGTACCTAATGATCCACTTACCACAGTGGCATAACAGAATATTCTCGCTGGTCTCTGGCTCTATTCAGGGCTAATTAAACCTCCCCTTGGTCAAGGCTGAGGTTTCCACACTCATTCCGTTTTGTAAAACGTTTTAAAAAAAATCTCTTTCCATGTCTAAGAACAAGTATTTCCTTTGATCAGCTTTAGCATTGCTGAGGTTCGCTTTGTAATCCATGGTGATCCTCCCTGACTGGAGGGGATGAGAAACGCCAGGGGCCCTAACATGTTGGGAGATCTCACTATCCAATACTCTATAGAATGGATGAACCTTGGTTGGGCAAATTCCTTAACTTCCTTCACCTTCTATTTCCTCACAAAATGCAGATACCAAAAGAACCTACCCCCTAGGAGTGTTGTGACAATTAAATGAGTTAATACATACAAAGTTCTTATAAAAGTCAGTGCCTGATCTACAATAAGCACTCAATAAATGTTATACTATTATAATTGATATTACTAACCACGTGGTAACTCATTTTATTTTTTTATCCTCACTCGGGGACATTCTTACTGATTTTTAGAGAGAGGGAAGAGAGGGAGAAAAAGAGGGAGAGAAACATTGATGTGAGAGCAAAACATCAGTCAGTTGCTTCCCATGCACCCCAACCAGGGACTGAACCCACAACCCAGGCATGTGCCCTGGTTGGAAATCGAACCCTTCTTGATCTTTCAGTTTACAGGGCGATGTTCCAACGAGCTGAGCTATACCCTCCAGGGTCCATGTGGTAAATCTTTTAAATAAAATGTTTGATTAAACAAAATGCACAGTTCTTTGACTATATTTAGGAGTAGAAACTTGGAGGTAAAATGGCAGGAGGAGACTATCCAGAACACAGTAACTTTTGGTGCCATCATAGCTGTCTCTGGCAGAAGTGTCTCTTGAAGTCCCAGGGTCCTACAGAGTTGTAAGTCCCCAGTCACCCTGGGCTTGGCTCAGCTGGGAGCTGCTCACGGGGGACACCCCCAACCTCCCTGTGCTTTCTTGCCAGCTGCATGAGAAGTTTGACCGTCTGAAGAAACTACACCAGGACGAGAAGAAGAAGCTGGAGGATAAGAAGAAATCCCTGGATGATGAAGTGAATGCTTTCAAACAGAGAAAGACGGCAGCCGAGCTGCTCCAGTCCCAGGGCTCCCAGGCTGGAGGCTCACAGACTCTGAAAAGGGACAAAGAGAAGAAAAAGTAAGTGGGAGGCTGCTGTGGAGTGGTGGCTTCTTTCTCCTCTTGCTCATCCCCTCAGGGTGGGACCTGGAGGCTGAGGAGGCCTCGAGGATGGTGAATAGAGGTGAGCTGTGGACTTCAACCAGTTTGGGTACCTATAACTGGTGTCAGTGTCCCCGCAGGACCTTCAGATTCCCTGAATTAGGGGGACCAAGAGTAAGTCATAGAGGCCCAGGCCCGCTGTTTGGCCTACTTAGGAAAGTCCTGCAAAGTCAGGTAGGAAGAGACGGAGGGAAAGGAGAGGAAAAGCAAAAGGACTGTGAGAGAGTAGAAAGAAGGGAGGAAACAAATGAGCACTGTAAAGGTATAAGAAAGAGATGAACAAAAAGGGGCAGATAGAGGGTAGTGGGAGAGAGTCTTCACAGAAACCTTTGGGTGCTCTCTCCCTGAGAGGCTGGAGCCGATTGGGCTTACAGGTCTTCTTTCTCGTCCTATGCCTGCGGTGTTGGCCTCTCTGTGCCTGTGGGCCCACCCTCTCTCTGCCCCAGCTCTCACGAGCTGCAGCCAGCAGTTTAACTGCTGCTCTTGAAGGCTGCAGCCCAGTTCCAGTTTCTCACCCCTTTGCTGTCCATCCTCTTGACTGTTTAGTTGTTCCTGGCCTGGGGTACTGAGAACTTGGTGGGGATCCCTCAGATGCTGGTATACTCTGGGTGCTCCATCCCCAACCTGGGAAATGATTTTACAATCTGTCTCTCTCCCCTGGTGTTTGGTGAGGTAAGATAGCATGGGCTCCTGATTACCAGGGGGGCCAATTATCCTCACCCACCTCATTCCACATCCCAGAACCAGAGAAGAGAAAAGCCTATCTAATGGGACCTATACAACAGCAGGAAAAGACCCACTGGTCCCTTACGCTCTGTAGTTGTGCAGTGTGACTCGGGAAGCCCTCAGATGGAGTGTTAGGCAATGTCCTTAGTACAGGGGCTTAGGGATCTGAAAGATGTCCATGGTCATCGCCCTCCATTCTTAGCCACTTGTTCCTGGCTCAATTATTGGATATTTGGCAAAAGAAAGAAACATCTTCCTTTCCTCTGTGCCTGGCTTATCACTTAGGAAGAAAATAGTGACTTTTGTACAGTATTAAAATATTTTATATTTGAAGGCACTCAGTTTTGCAATCTGACTATTCTTTATTCAAAAGTATAATTTGAACATTTTCACCAGTTAGTCTAGACATTTGTGTTACTGAACCATAATGATATATGTAGAATTCACTGATTAATTAACTCTTTTTGGTATTATTTGATGGATAAAGTTCAACGAGCCAGGAAAAACGCCTCTTTGGGGACACTGTATATTAACTGATCTATCATGGCGTGTTAGTTGTGCCAGCAGTCATGGATTCCTATTTTTAAGATCAGAAAAGTCTAAATTTGTCTTCCAGCTGTAACCTGCTGCCTTCATAGCCCTGTGGCATTGATTAAGTCAATCCCTGGGGTAGTTTCACAGACTGCTTGCGGGAATTAGAAGATTCATTTGTTCGGATCCCACTGACAGACACTAAACTATAAATATTCTCTATTCCGCTATTAATGGAAGTTTCTCCCAGACCAGGTTTTCCCCCAGTTGCCTCAAATTACTTCATGCCCTCCCATCCCCCCCCCCACCCCTGCCAACCCCAGGCAGAAGACTCTCCCTACAGTCTCCAGGAATGTTTGGGGCTGGTGATGGTACCCTTTTCCAATTCTGAGTGGGTGAAAACCTTGCTAGCATGTGGCACCTCATGTTAGGAATAAGGACCTGACAGAACAGGCTGTCCTCTTTCATACTTGTATAAGTGGCCCCAGACCTGGGCTTCTTATATAATTCCTTAGACAGTTAACTAATTTCTGAAATACCCATTGTGAGACCTGTGTCACTGTGGTCCCAGAGTGATGATGGCGGTGGTGGGATATAAGGGTACACATGGTGATAGTGGCATTTCTGACTGAGAGATGGTGGTTGGATATAATAGACTCACGTACTTAAAATTTCCTTTGGCTGCCTTTAGAGGTTAAGAAAGAGTGCCTGTGTTTCAGGGATCCTAACCAGCCCACCCTCCCCACCTCCGCTCCTACTCCTTCTAACCTCCTTTGACCTCTAACTCTTCATTGTTTGTGTGAACTCATAATATTTGATTTCTCCTCAAGTTCATGCCATCTTCATCAGCTCTTACTGTTTTACAGTTAACTCTGCTGTTTGCTGCATGCTGCATGAGACCCAGGGTCCTGGTAAGCTTTATTAACTCTCAGTAGAACTGGCGGTGGTGCCTAGAACACCTCTCCCCAAATCCCACCCCTTCTCAACACACGTATCTAATCATAAAACAAGCTGCGTCATTATCCTAACTGGTTTCCTCTTGTGACTTAGAATATTAAGAAATAGTCTGGTGTGGTCTCAAGTGTACATGTGGAATGTTTCCTTACCGGATTAAAAGTGGGATATTTTTAGACTTCTACTGAGAGAACAGCTGGGTAGCAAAGGTGGATCAATATTTGAGGTTCAGGTTTCATCATTTCTTTCTTAAAGAGCCCTAAGCATTACTTTCAAAATTAACCAGACTGCGATGAGGAGGGAAATTGATGGGTTTAGCAGCCCTGCTTTGCAGTTGTCAGGGTGGCATTGCCCCCCAGGTTTGGCAATGTTCTGAGCAAACAGAAACTTGCTTCTCTGTTTCCCTCTGGGGGAAATTTCTTATCCAAAAGGTTCAAGTTCTCCAATTTTTTTGACTTTGTACCCCCCAAAAACTATAGTGAAAGTGGAAGAAACTAAGAGCTCTCAGATATTATAGAGTTCCTTACATTTAATTCTACAAGTACCAGTTTCATGAACACCTACCTTTGGTGAGATGGGTTCCTTAGTGCTATGTGTTGTATCTACAGAAGGGAATAAAGTAGCTCCTGGCATCACGTCATTTATAGGTTGACTATAGCAATGATGAAGCACCTGTTCTATGAGACTCAGGTAGTAGATAGTGAGGGAACATAAATACATTTAATTTCACACAATTAAGCTTATTACTATTGTTTAAACTTTACCAGAGGCACTTTCAAACAGGAACACAAGAAGAGAGGACAGCAGAGCGCAGTCCAGGCACCCTCAACCCAGCCCCCAAACAGCTATGAACATGGGGCTGATCCTGTTTCATCTACTACCCCAAACCTGCTGGATTATTATAAAGCAAAACTTACATTATTTCATCTGTAAATACATTAGCATACATTTTAAGAGGTAATGAATGACCCTTTAAAACAAACAGCCCTGGCTGGTGTGGCTCAGTAGGTTGAGCCCCGGCTGTGAACCTAAAGGTCACTGGTTTGATTCCCAGTCAGGGCACATGCCTGGGTCTCGGGCCAGGTCCCCAGTTGGGGGCTTGCGAGAGGCAACCGATCCATGTTTCTCTCTCATATAGATGTGTCTCTACCTCTCTCTCTCCATCCCTTCCTCTCTAAAAGTAAATAAATAAAATAAAAAAAAACATAGCCACAATGCCACCTACAAAATTAACAATTTATTAACATAAAATTCCCAGTGTTCAGAATACTCCACTTGTCTCATAAATGCCTTCACATTTGGTTTGTTTGGACTGGGGAATATAAAATATTAAGGGCTTCTCCCTACTCACCGATGCAGCTTATGATTTAAATGGAGAGCCCGCTGTTCATCACCAAACTGAGAGCTGCAGCTATTGCACTGGGGACTTTAGACAGCTGGCAAAATATCCTATTTTCAAACAAGTCCCAGAGAGGAAATCCGTAGAGGCATCTGAAACATAAGGCCCATGAAATTGGGCCAAAGGAAACAACCCTAAAAGAACAATGGAATGATTTATTGTCTAGCCTGATGGCAAGCCTTTAGAGCCCCTGTTAGTTGACTGGAATTGAGCAGCAGATTTCCATTCAGGAAGACAATCACTTCCTAGACTGTCGTCTGTGGTGGGCCCGGTATATTGCAGCATGTCTGACACCTGTAGAAGCTCAGTTCACGTGTGTCCTCTTTGTTCCCCCATTTTAATGAAGAGAGTAGAAAAGGTGTATTCTGGTAAGTTAGATCTCAGTTACTGAGGCTGAATTAATATGGTTTGACACAATTTGGTTTACATTTCCCTGAGTAAATCATTGTTAGTGGCCATTACTGAAATGAATTCTGGCAAAACTATAATTAAAGCCTCACTTTATAAGTGAGAGGCAATTAGCAAACAGCAGGAACAGCCAACCTCAACCCAAGTAGGTTGAGTTTTTTCCTGGCAGGCTTCTCCCCAGAAGACCACAAAAGCAGTTCCAAACCAAACAGGGGAGAGAGATGCCTTGGCTCTGTAGGACCCAAAAGCAGCAAAGGCAGCCTGTTTCCTCCCCAAAGCCCTCATTCCTGGGGCAGATCACAAAGGCCACCTCTCAGTAAGGAGAGTGAGGCTTACTGTTCCTTACTGGTTTGGAAATTGCTTGAGATACTACTTGTGGTTGTCTGAAACTGTGAGACAAATAATTCTTCTGTGACCTGTACACAGTTGTAGATACTACTATATCTCTGTGGTTACTGGCCCTCGATTCTTGGAGGCTGCGCGGTATATGCAACAGTGTGCATGTGTCAAAATATGTCAGCCTTCCTGTGAAGCCCAGAACATAGGCTTTTGCAGTGTTGTTTAGGTTTCCCTTCCTCTGGCAAGTAGACAAAAAATTAAATGAGAAATGAGCATTCATATAACATCCTAATACTTTTCAAAGTGTTTTTTTCATATGGTGTCTTGCTTTAGCCTTACAACAATCCTGTGAATTGTTGGAGGAGGAATTTAAGAGACTCAACCATGGAGGAGGAATTTAAGAGATTCAACCAAGGATCACACAGTGAGTTAGTGGCAGAACTGGAACAAGAATGTAGAACTCCTATTCTTTTAAAAAAAAAAAGATGTTATTTATTTATTTATTTTTATTCTTATTTATTTTTTTTAGATTTTGTTTATTTATTTTTAGAGAGGGGAAGGGAGGGAGAAAGAGAGAGAAACATCAATGTGTGGTTGCCTCTCATGTGTCCCCCACTGGGGACGTGGCCCGCAACCCAGGCATGTGCCCTGACTGGGAATCAAACCTGCGATGCTTTGGTTCGCAGCCCTAACTCAATCCACTGAGCTACGCCAGCCAGGGCAATTTTATTTATTTTTAGAGAGAGGGGAAGGGATGGAGAAAGAAAGGGAGAGAAACATCGATGTGTGATAGATCGCTTGCCTCTTGCATGCCCTCAACTGGGGACTTGGCCCAGTGCCCTGACTGGGAATCGAACTGGCAGCCCTTTGGTTCGCAGGCCAGCGCTGAATCCACTGAGTCACACCAGGCAGGGCAGAATTTGTCTTCTTGGTATAAATTGCCATTCACGTGTGTGTAGGTATATGGATGTATTCACTCTGAGGAAGTAACTATACAAACATACATATGCATATGCTTTTAACTGTCCTTCCCAAATATCTAATAGTCTTTATTTAATGAGATAAATGTATTCTTCAGGTAAAAAATAGGGGCTTAGATCCACAGCCAAGGCATTCTCAGGGATACTGTGGTATAATTAAATGGCCAAGGGATTCAGGCTCTGATTCTGGTTGTCTTTTTCTTTGTGAGTGGGCAAGACAGTTGATTTCCCTGTGTTTCTCAGTCTCCTCATATATGATGTGGGGATGGATACTACTTGCCCTGTTTATGTCACAAAGATGAAGTTTAACTGAAGGAAAGGTCAAAGTGCCAGGTGAACACAAACCAGTAATAGATTTCCCTAGTTCAGGTTTTCAGGCAACTAGTGTGAAACAGACACTTCCCAAACAGCTATTGCCCCAGGGTGCTACTTAGCTGATTAGGACTGCTCTTGCCCCAGAGTACCTATTTAGCTGACAGGGACTGTTCCAAAGGCTACCTGAGGTGAAATCTGAACTTTGTGTGCTTTCCCTGTGGGATAAGGCAGTTAGTAGCTGAGAGTCTGGTGCTCTGTCCAGTGGCCGGAGACCACCTGGAGATTTCCTGAAGATATTCCTGCGCAAGGTGCCTGCCTGGTGGGGGGCCATTAGTCAGGACCTAGTACTTAAGAAGAGAGAACGTATTCTTGAGACTGTTGATAATTATTTTGCTAGCTAATACCACTACTGCTGCCACAAGCAAGAAAGCATGTTCCCAGGAGCTAATGCAATATAGGACCTTAAGATCATCTAACATAGCTATATATTCTAATTTATCCATTAGTCGTTATGAGAAACAGTTTTCTTCTAACTTGTTTTTTCGTACATTAATCCATCCATTCATTAACCCAACTTCTCTTTTTATTTTCAGTTTGCGCTTCCGGTAGACGCCCTTTTCCTGCACAACAGACCTGGGCCTCCCTTTCTTTAATTACCCCTTAACCTGAGTCGGGGTGCACAACCAGTGCCCCTCACTCTCTTCCTGCCAAAGTTCATAGAAGCCGGAGAGTCTGAGGATGGTGTCTGGCCTCTGGTCAGGAAGCGAGCAGCCATGTGGCTTAGAGATGCATCATGCATCCCACTTCCCCTCACAGTGCTTCCCGCCAGCCACTCCCCATCTCCACCTTTGCCAGACTGTACCATGTTCAGGGCTCCCATCTGCTACTTTCTACCACGAGTTTCCTTGTTCATGCTCTGATGGCTGCTTGCTTCCCTGAGGTATTTGCCTCCACTGTTGCTGGGTAAGCACCAGTCAACAAGGCTTTCCACCTTAGTGCCTAGTCACTGGGCTTCCCTGGGTACCTGCTGCCTCCCAGCAGAGCCACAGCTACTTCTCATAGGGCTCCAGAAGGCGATCCTTTGGCACCTTTTCCTTTAGGCCCTCCGCCCAGCCCTTTCCGGTTTTGATTCACTCAAAATAACTGTTCTCAAGCTGTGTATAAAATCCAGAATAAGTTTATCTACAGCAAGCCCCTCCCAGAAAACATGACTGCTGAAGAAAATAGCATAAATTCCCTCTATAATTCTGGGTACCCCACAGATGCAGAAGGAGAAATAAACCTGAATGTTATTACCAGTCTAGTGTCTTGAATGATAGGTTTAAGGAATTCTGCGGTGTCTCAGCATCTCCTCTGTAATCTCCTTAAGGACTCCACACCATCCCCCAAAGGCAGGGTCAGTAGCGGGTATAATAACCCCATGGCACAAACTGCCACAGCGAGCAGTCAAAGAATCAGGGTTTTCAGTTTTGCTTTGATGAGCCTTCCAGTCTATTTATTTGGGCAATGTGATGATGAGTTTTAATCTGTATTTTGCATACAGACTGGCTTCTCCCAATAAGAAAAGGTGAGATTATCAACTGGAGAGGAGGAGTGTTATTCCTCGGGAGGTCCCTAACTTTGTCTCCAGTCTACGGATTTGGTTTATAAATATTCCAGTCCTAATTTTGATCAAGGGGGCTATCCGATAATGGCTTTGGGAAATCCTTGGAAGTAGAGAGCCCTCCATTGTCAGGCACAGTGACCTTTGGTGTTTGGCCAGTGAGAGTGAGAGCTGAAGGTGAGCTGGCAATAATCTGTGGCTAACATGCCCTTTCTCTGCCCTTCCTTTGCAGTAATCCATGGCTGTGTACTGAATAGTATCCCCCGCTACAGCTGGACTGGACTCCATTTAGCCTTTTAAACCAAGGTTCTTATTCTAACTGACAGCTTTCCTGCAGGGTGCCAGGAAGCTGGGTCCCTGCTCCTGCCATGTACTTCCACTTCAACGCACCCCCTTCTTTTGAGTTCTGCTTCCCAGTCTCACTGGCACTGACCATGAACAACAACTTTTGAATTTTTGAAGGGGTTTTTTTTTTTTTGGTTAATTTCTTTCAAAACACCGTCTATCAAGGCTATGCCAAATATTCAGGCTTTTTGAAGTGTTGCAAATGGGAAGAGTTTCTCTCTTTAGTAATAGATAATAATCATAGGAAGTGAAAGGTAGAGAAAATGAACATCAAACACATGCACACTCTTGATCTTTTCTTGTTGGTAAAGCAAGAGTGCAGTTATGATACGTTATTGTTTGGTGAGTCGCTGTCTTGTCAGTGGCCACAGGCAAGTATGAAGGGCCTGCTGTCAAAGCTTAAGCTAACTTCTTGAAAAACCCAAGTCTCAGTGGAACATTTTAGCAGACCCCTATGCCTTGCAGGGTTTTTTTTGTTTGTTTGTTTTAAAAGACGAATTTAGACACTCCTCCAGTAGCTCAGAGAAATGCTAAATTAGGGCTGTCCAGCCTTCTGGGGAAGGGCATCTTGTTTGAAGCTTTGATGTTTCCAGGTCCAGTTTCACAGCTGCTTCCCCCAAAACCCAAACTCAAAACAACCAATTGGTCTTCTTCCTCCAGGGTAATTATTTGCATCACAAACAGGCCCCCCTCATTTACATTTGTTTACGGATTAAGTACTTGAGGCTTGAGGAGCTCTGAAAACTTCAAAATTTTTAGAGCCACTCAGCCTTTGAGAGACCTTTAGAGACTAGGCAGGAATTTTGTATTAAGGAAGAAATTTGGGTTCGCAAGACAGAGATGATCCACTTTTTTTCGTAAAAGAAAATCGAAGCCCAGAGAAATGAAGGGACTTGCCAGAGGTTCCAGGGCTGTTTTGTGGCAGAAGCCAAGCCAAACTCAGTGTCTCCTGACTCCCCATCCACCTCATTAAGGGATTCAGTCTGTTCATTCCTGTGTGTTCCTGGAGACAAGGTCTTCTGATGCTCAGAGAACCTGAAGAGTTAGTATTAGAGGCCTCTTACATTTTTTCCCATAGAAAAATATCCAAGGATGAGTGGGTAGGGGCCGGCAAAGCAGAAGACTTCAGACCAGCTCCTGAACTGAGTGCTTCTGCTGACAGTAGAGGTCACCAACAACCGTGAGCTAGTCAGCTTTCCTAGAAGTCTGGAATGGGGCCCAGGCACACTTTTGTTTAACAAGTGCCCTAGATGATCCTTATAATCAAGAAAGTTTGGAAAACGAAAATCTAACCTGTGAGTGAGCACAAGGCCTTTAGGAAGTTGATCCACACTATGGAAAAGAATTAAAATTGTTATTTTATTGAGCAGTTTTCTTTCTTTTGTATTTTATTACATCTATTATTGGGGTGACATTGGTTAGTGGTAGTTTTCTCGCTGTAGAGAGAAAGATTCCCCCCCTTTGGTGAAAAGGCTTTCTAATGAGTACAGTTGTTGCTATTTTTTTTTAAATACCCTAACTACTCTGTTTACTTCTGGTGAAACAAAACCAGTCATTAGAAATGGTCTGTGCTTTTATTTTTTCAGACTGGAATGGAACAGCTTTCCTGAAAAATCCTCACGTGTACTCACACACACACACACACACACACACGCACCTAGTTTCTCTTAAGCCAAGAAGTTTGCTTTTCCTAGCTGCAGTGCAGACCACTTTTGTTTTTGTTTCTTCTTTTAATCATCTGGCATTCCCATGTAGCTGTTAATATGTGCTTGTTTTTAATTAAAACAAGAAGCTTCAAACCCGGTGTGTGGTGTTCTTAAAACCTTCTCAGCCCATTTCCCAGTGGTGATGGTCCATCAGTGACCCCATTTCTAACCTGTCTTCTGCAAATATAATCTGTTCTACCTCACACTGCCCCCTCCCATCGCCCTGTCTTACTTTGAATGTTCTTTTTCTTTGGCTAATTCTGTGTTTTCTTTCTCTCTCTCTCCCTCTCCAGCTTTTTTTAATCTTGTCTTCAGCAGCTGCATTAAATCTAAAGGAGAAGACTGCCATTATAGAAGAGTTAGGGTTCCGCATTGTTTCAAGCCAGAAACCAATCAATTCCCTCTTCCCCGAAACTGTGCGCGCACGCGTGCACACACACACACACATACACACACTACACACTCAGCAAGTGTTCATATGTCCCTGTGTCCAGGCAAGAAGCTCTCTCCTGACTTACATGGTATTTTAAACGGAAGTGTCTTGTCCTAACCTAACAAGGCAGGAAAAGAACCATCAGAGCTGGAGAATGGACCAAGTGTAACCTCAGAGACAACTACAGGACAACTCACCCAAGTGTAAGTGACTGGGGCAGGAGACCTCAGCTGTGGGTGTGGAAGTGCTGTTCTCAAGTTTCCAGTTGAGTTTTTGTTTTTAAACACGAGTTCTCCGGTTCAGTGGGTTGACTGTCTACAGCCACTACTAAACATTTCTGAATATGGAAGGGAAAGTCAAGTAACATCTGTATCTTCTTCAGCATTCACAGACCTCCTGCTGACCCCCAGCAAGGGCAAAAATGGATCCACTAACACTCAGTGAGGAAAGGAAAGATGGGAGGGGGGGGTTAAGTTTAGTGAGAGGAAAATAAATCCATTCAACCTTTTGAAGCCAGTTGGGGTTTTGAGAGAGGTTTCTGCTCAACCTGGGATCTGGCTGGAGAGCTTTCCTGTTGAAAATCTGCCTTGAATTCATTGGTTTAACTTGCATCAAAATACCATGTGAGTGTGCTCATTTCCGTATATCCCTATAGCCATCGCCATCCCACTGTCCGGTGTCTCTTGAGAGAGCCTCTTTGCATGTTTTCCAGAATCTGTGTTGTTTTTCCTTTCTTTCTTTTTGTTCAAAGGTGTGACCACTCACTGCCCCTCAGGGGCTTCCATTCACCAGGAGAAACATCCCAAAACCAGCACTGTTTAGCTTGATACCTTTCTAATGTCCATGTCAATTTTCAATAAAATTCAAAGAAATGCTCAATGGTTGTGTGATCTGATCTTAAACCATTAGGTGATGTGACCCATCACGGTTTGCTTTAGGAGCGGGTGGCTGCCTTCCAAGTGGATGATTTGAGGGGCTCGGGGAGGCACCAGTAGCTGGTATGCAACCTGCTTAGGTGGGCTGCCCTGTCCCCTCCTTCCTCCATCTGAGCTTGAAATTCTCATGGATGGGGCGAGAGATGGAGGTGGACAGGAAGTCCTCTACTTTTCCTTCATTAGCATGGATCTGACCGATCTGTTGAGCTCATCATCTAGGATAATAGGTGGAAGAAGTGGAGTGTCAGATCCTACAAACCAAGATTCTCCTCCCATTTAATCCTGTGATGTAAGCATCCTGGAAATTCATGACTATGACTGTTCTTTATGACTCAAAAGGCATTCTTTTAAAAAAGGTTTTATTTATTTACTGTTAGGGGAAGGGAGGGAGAAAAACATCGAGGGGACCTGGCCAGCAACCCAGGCTGATCTTTTGGTTTGCAGGCGGGTGCTCAATCTACTGGGCCACACCAACTGAGGTCAAAAGGCATTCTAAAGGTAGCAAGTATTTTGTGTCCTAAGTCTGCCAGGGAGGGAAGCTCCTGTCCTTGCCTCCCATCCTGAATGAAAGAGGGAGAGTGGTCAGTTTTTATAAGTTTGCTTGGGGTCGAGGTAGAGTCCCCCCCCCCACTTGGCTTCATTTTCCAAATGGCCAGATGCTGGAGATAGGGTAGTGGTCCTATCCTCATGGTACCCAGGCCTGAAGGAAAGGACACTGTCCTGCATCTGTATAGCTCAAACACTAGGGGGCAGCCGAATGAAAGCCTGTGACACCACTGAGTAGCGGTAGGCGAGGTGTGGAAAAATACAGATTCTGGAGCCTGACAGCCTTGCTAGCCATGTGCGTTGTGGTCAAATTGTGTTACAAACTTCCGTGTAAAAGGGGAATATCAATAACCCTTGCATGGTGATTGTGAAGGCTATACAAGCTCATGTAAATTAAAAGACCTGGGTGTTCCATAAATGGTACTCTTTATTAAGGATGGAGTTTCCTCTTTACCAGAAGTTTCTTAGGTTCCTCCAATCCACCATTTCTAAACCTTAGCACTACTGACATTTGAGGACAGATGATTCTTTGTGGCAGAGACCTGGCTATTGTAGCATGTTTAACAACATCCCTACCCACTACATGTCAGTAACACTCCATCCCACCTCCACTTGTGACAACCAAAAATGTCTCTTGACAATGCCACGTGTCTCCTAGAGGGCAAAATAGCTCCATATTGAGAATAGTTGCTCTAGGTCAGGGGTCAGGGGTCAGGTAACTTTTTCTGTAAAGGGCCAGCAGAGTAATACTTTAGGCTTTGCAAGCCATCTGGTTTCTGCAACTATTCAACTGTTAACTAAAGCACAAAAGCAATAATACATAACATGGATGGAACAGGATGAGCGTGGTTGGGCACCAATAAAACTTCATTTACAGACACTGATATTTTACACTCACACTCGAATTTCATTTTCACATGTCCTGAATTATTATTATTTTGATTCTTTTCAATCATTAAACAATGTAAAAGCCATTCTCAGCATGAGGGTCATGCAAATACTTGTGGTGGGGCCAGAGTTGGTCTGCAGGCCATAGTTTGCTTACCCCACCTCTAATGCATTTTGGTGCTTGTTGATGCATAATCAGTCTAAAGCCATTAGAAGCTGCTGGCTGGTCAAAAGAAATCAGAAATGAAGATAACATGACTGAAGTTTTAATGCAAGTTGTGGTGGGTGGGGAGTGGCTTTGATTAACCAAAATTTGCACACGGCTTTGGTAGAGCATACATGGGAGGCATGGGCCTACTGTATTGATGAGGTCCTGCTCCTGGGGCTCTGAGCAGGTGAGAATGCCAACTACTAGGGAAAGGACTGGGCCTCTGATATCCTCAGAAAGGCCAAACAACCAAGGCTCCTATCTGAAATGCCCCCACGTCAGGAGGTTCATCCCTTAATGAGAGGACAGCTTTCTTGCAAGGCCATCCTTTTAAAGTGTGAGTACCCCTTCAAGGAGTTGTGCATTTGAACAGTAGTACCTCACAGGGGTTTTGCCACCTACACTTACCTTCCGTTGCTGTCCATCCAAGTCCTCCATTATCACTTAGCTTGTTTGGCTTGAGCTTTAGAAAGTCGCTACTCTGGGACCAATACCTATATAAGAATACATATGTATATATCTGTTATGTAGAGGATTAGGGACATACTCCTCATCTTGGTTTTGGGCTTAATCAGATTATGATGTCTTCATCAATGGTAAGGGTATGTTGAATGGGTTTGGTCCAGTGCCCTATGCTCTGGGGATATTTTGCATGAGACCTAATTAGACACTGTTTTTGAGGAACTTAGAGACTGGCCCCAGCTTAACTACTCAACCTTATTTTCCAATATTTACTAATACCCACTCTCCCTTCCAGTACTCTAAGTCTCTGCACAGGCCTCTCCCTGAGTTGCCCAAGTGATTTGTTGACTTTGTCAGAAATATCCTCTACTGATTTAAACCCTGCCTTTGAGGCTCAGGCCCTACTTTCTCCTTGAAGCCTTTCTTGATCCTATCCACCTACTCTGATCTTCATTTTTGAACTTCCTGTTTGAACTTTTATAATCTGCTTCCTGTTTGAGCCTCAATAGATGTTAAGCTTCCTTGGGGTAGGAACATCATTTATAGCACTCCTGAGGTTCCAGTACAGTGCTGGACACACGATAAAAAGTAATTAAGATGTAGCTAGATTGAGATTCTTCACTAATGTAGGGAATTACTGCACTTCACTAGCACTTAGTTTTGAAATTAAGTTACAAGAATAGTTCAAAGTATACCCACATACTCTTGGCCCAGATTCACCAATTGATAGCATTTCACCCCATTTGCTTTATCATTTGTTCCCTATATTTTTTTCTGACCCATTTGAAGGTAATTTACATGTATCATAGCCCTTTACCCCTCATATTCCAGTGGGTATTTCTTAAAAACAAGGATATACTCTTATATAACCACAGACAGTTATATTAACTTCAGTAAATTTAACATTGTTACACTATTTTTTTAAAGGTTCTACTTATTTATTTTTCCAAGTTTTCCTCCTTTGGCCACTCACTGAGTCCCCCATAGGAAAGGGCAGGGAGGGAAGCCCAGAGCTGTGTGTGTGTGTGTGTGGGTGGTGTAGTGCAAAGACAGTAGTGGGAGCCTGTTTCAGAACAGAGAAACATGACGGAGGGGAGGATTAATGACTACAAGAAGTTTCTGGGTTGTTTTAGGATCTTGATGATTGCCTTTATCATTGTTCCCTCCTATACCTATCATCAACCACTTTTCAGATAATCTACTTCTGTTTAGGGGTTGCAATTCCTGCTCACTAACAAAATCATCTGTGACTTGTGAGAAGGGACTGGGCTGAGATAGGTTGGCAGAAAGATTTTTTGATCAGGAGGTTTTCTAGGGAAATAAGGTCATGGATAGTCATAGAAATTTTTTGTTTTGCTTTCTAGAGACGAAACTGTATTCCATAGTGGGGATTACAAATGGAATCGAATTATGGCTGTTCCAAAGTAAATGGTCTCTAACATCAGTTTCATTGCCTTTCATTTTGTAATCCAAGTTCAAAAGTCAGATTTCGATTATTTGTTCCTATCTGATGAACAAGCTTTCATCCAAGCTAAGAGGATGTAGCTTTTATTTTCTCAAATCTTTTTTTAGGAAAGATATGTATTGATGGCAATGCTGTTGTTGATGAAGGCTGGCACTTAGGCTGAAATTAATCCAACTGTAAAATGACAAATCAGCTTAAAATATATAGGCTCCAAGAAAATGAATTTCACAAGATTGGGACAATCAGAAGAGCCTTCATTGAGTCAGTCACTCACTTAATGCAAGAAACATGTCCTGGCTGGTGTGGCTCGGTGGATTGAGTGCCAGTTTGCAAACCAAAAGGTTGCCAGTTTCATTCTCAGTCAGGGCATGTGACTGGGTTGCAGGCCAGCTCCTAGGTTAGGGGCATGTGAAAGCAACAAATCAATGTATCTTTCACACATTGATGTTTCTCTCCCTCTCTTTCTCCCTCCCTTCCCCTTTCTCTAAGCATAAAATAAAATGAAATATCTCTGGAGTGCCCACAGTAGCCAGGCATAGGTGCTAAAAGCAAGGAATTCATAGATGAATTCCTTGTTCTTATGGATCTGACACTGGGTGGGTGGGGAGCAGTCAAACTATTTTTTTAAAGTTCAGAAGGTGATACATGTGAAGAAAAATTGCCTGTTAAAAAACAGGGCAATGCATGGCAAGTGTCTGGAGAAGCACCAGATGAGGAGTCGAGTGCCCTAGATTATGATCTCAGTTTTGCTGCCAGTCTCTACAGTCTTCAGCAAGTCAGTTCACCTCTCCAGCCTGAATTTTCTCACTCATACAACAAGGACTTGAATTTACAATCTCCAAGCTTCCTATTTAGTATTGTGTTTTGATATGATAGCTCAAAGACCGCCATTCCGTCAACATGAATGCCTACCATAGAGTCAAAGACAAAACACTCAATACAAAATAGACAAGACAGACACGGAAATAAATCATTATGAAACTGTGTGAAAAGTGATGTTTTTTTAAAAAATATTTTATTTATTTTTAGAGAGAAGAGGAGAAAGGAGGGAGAAAGGGAGAGAAATATCAATTGGTTGCCTCTTGCACGCTCCCAACCAGGGACCTGGCATCAAGCCAGCAATCCTTCAGTTTGTGGGATGACGCTCAACCCACTGAGCCAGGGCAAAAGTGATGTTATCTTCTGCTCTTCTCAGTCTAATACACCCCTACACATAAGATGCATCATGTAATAAAAATATGTCATTCAAACATTAAACAGGGAAATGGTTCGAAGCCACCTCATCCAATGGTTCTGCTACCAGTAGGACATTGAGTTTTATGCAGGGCTATTTCTCCCCACCAAGACTGTAATAAGTTCTAGGACAACAGAGAAAACCCAGTTTCTTTTTCCTTTTTCTATCATACCTGCTTCCACAAAAGTAGGTTTACAGTTGTAAGTACATGAAACACAGAGTTTATTCTATTGTTATTTTTAAAAAATCTTTTTGAAAAGATTTTATTTATTTTTTAGAGAGGGGAAGGGAGGGAGAGAGGGAGAAACAGCGATGTGTGGTTGCTTCTTGTGTGCCCCCTACTGGGGACCTTGACCACAACTCAGGCAGGTGCCCTGAATGGGAATCGAACCAGCAACCCTTTGATTAGCAGGTGGGCACTCAACCACTGAGCCACACCAGCCAGAGTAATTCTTCTATTGTTTATTAATTATTGTATTATTTTCTATATGAACAACCGTAAACCTACTTTTGCCTCACCCTGTAGTGAGCACACAGTAGGTGCTCTGTAAGTTCCAGCTGACAGACACTCATTGACGAACTACTTTAATGGCACAGGTTGGCAGCCGGGGATTGAGTGAACTGACGGATGCAGTGGTGGAGTGATATGGTAAGCTTACAGAGTAATTTTGCCCTTTGCTGCTGTGCAGCTTTTAATCTTTTTTTTTTTTTTTGGAAGGGGGGCTTTCTGTTTTTGGTAATATTTTGCACGTTTTAAATTGATATGAAAAATGCAGAATTACTTGTAATCATGATCACAACTGTGTAAGCCTGGTGTCTATATTTGTCAGTAATTGGAATGGAGTATGTACGATAGAAGTGGTTGACTTGAGAAGTAGTGCTGTGGATGAATTTCTTAGCAAGTATTTCACCTTTCTTATGCTTTCACAATGGAATACAAAGCTAGTGATGTACAACGCACATAGCTTTTCAAGCAATTCTGTGAAGAAAAGGAGCCTTGGAGAGCTGACACTTTAAAAAAAAAAAAGGTAAAATGCATTGCAAACCTAAGTCCCTTCCGAAGGACACGGTCCCACTGTTGTACTGCTCAGAAACTCAAGGAAAGGCGTCAGGGGAGTGATTGCTGCCAATAATCACTTGAGGTCGTCTTCTAAGGACTTATCAGAAACATGTTCCAGAACCTCTGAGAATCTTTGGAAGTTCCCTTCCCGGAGTCCCCCCACCCCCTCCGCTAGTCACCCCAGTGCGTCAAAGGCCCAGAGGCTTCATAGAAGGGGAAAATGTACATCGCGCGATATTTGGGGACGGGATTTGGAAGTTAGGGGGAAATCCACCGCAGCGCATGCGCACTGGGCCACAACCGCCGGACAGCACGCGGGTAGGTAGGCTGGAACTTAGAGGAAGGCTAGCAGAGTGTGCTGGTGTCTTTTCCCCCCCCTTTTGACCGTGCAGAGCGTGTATCTGCGGGTGGCTGGAAGTTTGGAGCGCAGGGCCTGGCTCAGCGTTCCTGGCACGGGAGTGACTGCAGTGGGCGCCCTCCTGCCCCACCACGAGTTGGAGGAGTGCTGCAAGCGTGTGCCCCCGCGTCGGGAAGTGATCGCCTTTTCCTCTTTAACAGTCACCCTCCATGCACACACCCTAGTCCCCTGAGAGTTGGTCTTCGTGCCACAGCGCGCCCCTCCTTACCCGGCCCCTCCTACCGGCCCAGTGCCCGCTTGCTCCAGGTCGGTAGTTGGCTTCATCCCCGGTGGCCCTGCTTGGGGGCGGAGAAGATGGCTGGCGGACGTCTGCTTTTGGGGGGCGACTTCCTGTCGCCTCCACCGCTGCCCCCCCTCCCGCCGCCGCCTCTGCCGCCCCTCCCGCCACCCCCGCCGGAGCCAGTGCTGGAGCAGTGGCGCTATAGCCACGAAAGTGACTGGCAGTGGGCTCTGCGACGCAGCTTCATCTGTCGGCACCTGCACAGCTATCCCGGGGCTGCCCTCGACCAGCTCCTTGCTCTCTCCGCCGCCTGGACCAACCACGTTTTCCTGGGCTGCAGGTGAGGAAGGTGTGCGTGTCGGATTAAGGGACGGGGTAGGGGATGGGTGATGGGTTTTGGGTTGGGTTAAGGGACCAGGATAGGGGATAGGTGATGGAAATTGGGATAGGGACCGGGACAGGATACGGGTGAGGGCTTAGAGGCTGGAGATTTGAAGATGCTGGAAGACACTCTGTTGGCCTGTGGAGGGGGTTGGCGGAGCGAGGTGACAGGGGGTGACATAACAGCTAGAAGGGTCCCGGGATCACGGGAGCAGCCCTTCCAGGACCAGGGGTGGAGATAGAGCTGCGCCTGGAAGAGGAACCATCACCATAATGACTATCGGTGGGCATTGTGGTGATGGTTCTGGGGGGCCAGGGAAATGATGAATAGCAGAACCTAGGACCTGCGTAGGACCTTCCGAGGATGCGGTATCCGCAGAGAATATCCTAGAGTCGGGCTTCGAGGGGATGGAGGTGCTGCGGTTGTAATCCTAGTGTCCTCCTGACCACTGTCTTTCTATCCCCATTAAATAAAACAACAGCCGCCGGCCCCCCCCCATCGCCCCGCTGGGTTTTACTGTCTCCTGTGGAGGTGGTTTGTATGAGGTGTCTCAGCCACAGGGTCCGCCTTGCTTGTCGATTTGCGCATAAGGTGTCTGGACGCAAACAAAGAAATGGATATATCCACTATAAGAATGGCTTGCCTTAGTTTACCTTAATTTTGATCAAAAGGTTTAACAATTGGCCTTGGGTGAGGTTTTAGGTGTATGTGTGTGTGTTTGTCTCACCCCCCACCCTTCTTAAATCTTGTGCGCATTCAGAATAGGCCTCTTTGAAAGCTCTTTGCATTCGATGGAGACTGCAGTATGGTTCCAACGCAATTTTTAAAACAAGACTACTTGGACCTCTGTCTTTCAGAACCCCCAGTCAGTCTTATACTAGACTAATTATTCCTTTGATAGACTGAGAGGCTTCTATTTTTTTGACACTCCTACTTCACAGTGAATTTTTAATTAGGAAGGATGAAAAATTCTGGAAAGTGATCAGATCAAATTCAGCCAATTCAGACCAGGAATGACTAACTGATGCAGAAAAATAGGATCGTCCACTGCTACCCTTAATTGTTGAACAAGGTCTCCAGTGTGATACTTTGCTTTGCTCTCATCACAAAAATTAATGTTTTTCCTATTTTCTCTAGGTTAGTATAATTTCTGCCTCCAGAGATAATGATTATGTCACTGGAGGAACAGGTTACAACTGGGGAAGCATCAGCTATTAAGTCACATAAATCTAATTGACCTTCATTGAACAATATTGTTCTTGCAGTTGATCACAGATCTTAATATTACAGAAAATCATGGGGAATGTGAATTCTTAACACAAAATTCTTACATGGAAGCATAATAACCATCCTTTGTGTTAATAAATCTTACCTACCCATTAGAATGTAAGCTCCTTTGGGGAATGTGCTTATGCTTTCTTGCTCACACCTTTATATCCTCAGTGCCTAGAAGAGTGACTTCTGAATAACAGCTGCTCAATAAATTTGTGTGGAGTGAGTAGTTGACTATATCTTTATAGTGTACAGAACATATAAAAATGTATGTATCTCACTTAATACAACAACCTTGGGAATTAGGTGGTGTCTCCTTTTCACAGCTAAATCAATGGAGGCCAAGAAGTTAAGTGGCTTTTCCAAGGTCCCACAGTCTTCTGATGCTCTTTCCACTGAGATACAGCTGCTGTGTTTGGAAAGGATGGACCAGGAGTGAAAGCAAGTAACTGGTACAAACCACATCATTACTATACCTCAGGATTTCGTTTCAAGAACAGCAGCCTTATACATAAGTATGGCATTAAAAGGCACAGACCAGGCCAGTGGTAGTCAGTGTTAAAAGGTAAAGCTTCCAGGGCATTTTGTGTGTGTATTTACACTTGCCAAAGCTCATCTGTCTATAGTATATATACTATAGTCACCATGTGACATTTTAGTTAAGTCATTTTAGTCAATACAAGTTGCTATAACATTATCAAATAGCATAACAGAAAAGTAATGTTTGTATTATATGTAACTTGGATATAGGAGAAAGAGGAGGCAGTAAAGAATCTTGCAAGCTAGGAACCAACTGCAGTCTTCCACTTTAGTCAGGCTTTACGTTAGCTGTCATCTTCAGGGGGAAAATCTATATCCTGGTACTTGTTAATGTTGATTTGGCAGAGCTCTTGTTTTCTGATCTGTTTTGTGACAGAAGACTCTTCTCTCTCAAGGGAACTGTAGAATACAAGGTGAAACAGCCTATTCTCAACTTAAATTGTTAATTTCTTGTTCAAGGTCCATCCCTTGACTTTTGCAACAGGTCGTAAATAGTAGCAAGAAGGGAAATGATTGCACTTTCCCCCCTATTTAGCAGGACTTTCTCTGTTCTGTGTCAGCTGGGGCTGAAGTAACTCCTAGGTCAAAGATGTCTTTGAGAACTTGATCATAAGATTAAGCCGGGAGGGGCAAACCATGTTTCATTCCTGTTGGTGATAGTAGTGCTTTTCGAGGAGCAAGTTTGAATATGTTCTTAACTCTGTAACCGTGGTTCTCAAACTTAAGCAGGGGTCAAAATCATTAGTTAGGCTTGTTAAAGCACGGATTGCTGGACCCCATCCCCGGGGTCTCTGATTCAGTAGGTCTGAGGTGGGGATCCCAGAATTTCAGAATTTACATTTCTAACAGGTTCCCAGGTGATGCTGATGCTCAAGTGATGCCATCCAGAGACTACACTATGAGAAGCACTGTTTTATAGGGTTACAGTAAATAAAGCAGTATTTCCCAATATGCTTTTTCATCATTTTCCATCATAAACCAAGCAACCAGGAAGCTCAAATAGCTGAAATTATTTCTCTTCACTTTTTTATTTGCTGTTTCATAAAAGTAAACTGTCAAGCATTTTTTCTGCAAGCAATATCTAAAATGTATCTTGTGGCTAATGAAAAGTTAGTACAGTCTTTTAATCAACTACACCTATGAATGCCTAGGGATCTGTGCAATTTTTACTTAAACATTATAGATACATGTATGTATATATGTATTTTATATATATATAATAAAGCAGACTGTTTGGTTAACTGGAGCATTCAGTTTCCCAATCATTCTTCATCACTAGGATTAGAAGCAGAATCCTGGCCTATTGGTCTTTGATGCGATACTAATTAATCAGGAAAATATACCTTAAAATGACACCAGCTTTGCCACCTTGATTATTTGTCTCTTCTCTTCCTTGTTGATATGAGACTGTTTGGAAGACTTATTATGCCAGTGGGCTCATGCTGTGAAACTAACTTTGCACATAGTAGGTAGACGGCATCAGTCACTAGCTGATGAAGTATGAATGAGTGATAAATCTTTCAAAAGATTTATCAATAATCTGGCTGTATGTTATTGACTTACGTTAGGAGTCTTATGAATAGCTTTAAATAAATAATTTTATACTTGGTAATCCTAGTCTTTGCTGAGTTTTCAAACCTCAGCTTTTTTACTTGGATTTAATAGACCCCGTTGAATACACTTAAACATTTTTGAAAGCATCTATTACTGAATATTTATTAAATTTCAGGTGCCATTGTATATCATAAGCATGCACGTATATGTACCTGTTTTTGTTAAGGAATGTGAGATTCATGAACTTAGATGTCTTTGTCTACTAGAAATCATCTTTTGTTATGTGCTAGGTGTGCTGGGACCATTGAATAGCATCCAGATTTCCAAAAGCTTAGTAAATAATAAGCTACCTTTGAAAGCTCTAAAGACCTGCTGGAGATTTTTGTTTTCTTTTGTAAGCATTTACAACCAAATGGATATATTAACAGACTTAATAATATGCATGCATCTTCAAATCACTGTATTAGACTTTCCTTGATGATATTTTTCATCATGATCCCTCCAAAGATAGAATACTATATAGCTATTAAGTCTCATGTGGTAATGACATGGAGAAAAAGCTTATAGTAAATTAAGAATGAAGAAAACCCCTTACCAAACTGCAAATCAACATAGATAATCTGATAGTGATGGGGGGCGGGAGAAGGGGGGAAGTAGCATGGAAAACAGAAAATGGAATAAAACATAAACCCCAAAATGTTAGTGAAGTTATCAGTAATTGGGTTCGTAGGTGCTTTTCTTGGTGGATTCTCTAAAACTTCTGGAGTAAAGGTGTTACTCTAAATCCACTAGCAAAAAAATATGCTACAGAAAACAGTAATGAAAGCTCTACTATCTTGGCTTATTTCAAATTGGTGAAACTACTTCTTTATCTAGCTAATCTGGATAGCTAATCTCTGGAGAATTTAAAAAATGGGGATGCAATCCTAGTGGTCTTATTAAACCTTATCTAGAGGTCTAAATCTGATCTAGATTGCTATTTGCATTGTTCTTAGGAGAGTTCAGTGTTAGGCTCTATAAGGTATTTTCCATTATTGTTTGAACTTCTTGGGCTTCTTCAACATTAGGACTTCCTAATAAAGGACTGAGAAGTGGACTGTGCTGGCAACCTACACAAAGGTTTATTTTTGTAGCCTATGGGTGATGATGAATTTTGTGGCAGGTGTAATGAATAGGGAACAGTAAGTAGGTATAATCATTACTAATGCCAGAAGAAACCTGAGAGAAAAGTGAGTGTGAATGGAGTGAGCCCCAAATGCATTATTCATGGACACTGGATTATGACATGCTTGCCATTCACAGTTTTATACCCTATTTGGAAACAGGCTATAATTGAAGGTCTGGACAATTTTGAATGCAATTCAAGGTGAGTGCCTTGGTTGTAGTACCAATTTTGGTAGCAGAAGTGGCATTACCACTTTGAGATTTATAGACTGCTATTTTATTTTCATAATCTCTTATTTTCATCTTGTACCTTGGAAATTGGACTCCCAAATCTGAATGGAAGTGATATATAAAACATATGACACTTTAGGCTATGCTTTCCGATGTTTAGGTAAGAGTAAATGAAAATAAAGTTACTCTTGGCATTT